TAATAGTTCTATGAATTTAAACATACTTGGTCTTTGTCGATAAAAAATATCTATATATTTTCTTCTTTCGTTTTCAAATATTGGACATTTAAAAATGTAATGAAATTCATCTCCTATATCTCTACAAAGAGTGCATTTACGATCGTTTATGGGTATGTTTTGCCAACGTCCCGTTTCAATTGGAAGTCGATGGGTCCTTGTTAAAAACATAAAAAAATTTCCTAGCAAAATACAGAGGTAATGTGTCTATGTAAGCGCTTCTACAAAAGTTATCTTTTATATATTTATACAAATTTGAGTCTGACGTATTGCTAATTTCAGCTCTCCAGCTTTGAATATAGATATCTTTTAACTTTTGAAAGTTTGCTTTAATAAGCCATTTACTACTGCTAAAACATTGAGCATACCATATTCCAGAAAAACCTGTCTTACATAAATATTGTTTAACATTTTCTATCCAGAGTGACTTAACTAAATAATTATTTTGTAGTTCCCTTAAAACAATATACAACTTTGATGATAGTTTCGCTGTTTCATTAAAATTTATATTATCAATAAGTCTTGTCCAGTATGATACAACCCTATTTTTAATATGAATTTTTATAGGAAAAATGCCTGTCTCTCCGTACACCATATAAGACGGTGTAGACTTTTTTAAATTAAAAATATATTTGTAAAACTTCAGTTGAACTTTCTCCAAAACAGAAACATCGCCAAATCCCCAAATTTCACTTCCATATAATAAAATTGGTTTGATTGTCTTTTCAAATAGTTCAATTTGTAAATCAAACGGTAAAGCTAACAATTTAATTTTCCTTAACAATGCAAACATAGCTTTATTTGCTTGTTCTGCAATTGCAATTTTAGATTTATAAAAAGAGCCACTTTTATTAAAGTATATACCTAGATATTTATATTCATTTACAACTTCAAGAACGTTTTCTCCTATTGTAAACACTTTACAACTTTTAGGACGGCCTTTACTGAAAATCATAATTTTTGTTTTGTTTACATTAATGTTTAATTTCCATTGATCGCAGTATTCTTTGAATTTATTTAAAGCAATTTGAAGATCTTCTTCATTATCACTGAATATGACGGTGTCAGCGTAAAGTAAAATAAAAAGTTTCAAATAAACCCGCACCCCTTCAACAAAAGCTTCTCTAGAAACTCCATTTACACCACTACTATTAAGATAGCTTTCAAGATCATTCAAGAAAACTGAGAATAAAAAAGGAGACATGTTTTCCCCTTGACGTACCCCAACAAGACAGTCGAAAAAAGGCGTACATCCTTCAGAAGTTACCACTCGCGATTTAATGTTATTATAAAGACTTTTAATGACATTAAAACATTTTCCATTTATATTATTTTGTCTCAATTTTTGCCATAATCCAACCCTCCACACGGAATCAAAGGCCTGTTTAAAATCAACGAAACAACAATAAAGTTTTTTCCTATTGGATTGTACAATATCGATTAGACATTTTAGAATAAAAATATTATCAACAGTAGAAAAGTTTTTTCTAAACCCTGCTTGTGTTTCATGTATAAGATTCGTGCTATCAGCAAATTTATTCAACCTTTGATTTATTATACATGTGAAGAGTTTTCCAAAGCAACTTAAAAGTGATATTGGACGATAATTTTCAGGTAATTTAACATTCCCTTTATTTTTATATATAGGTTTAATATGTCCTATAGTCCAGCTCTCAGGAATAACACCTTTATCAAAAATAATATTAAAAAGTTTTTTATAAATTTTTAACATCAAGCCGATAGAATTTTTTATATGCTCGTTAAGAATTTGATCCACCCCTGGTGACTTATTTGTTTTGAGACTTTTAACAGCATCTAAAATTTCTTTTTCTGTTATAGGGCCATTTATTTCCTCGTTCATTGTAGCATCATCGCCTGTATAATTTTCATTTCTATAATCATTATCATCAGCAGCTGTATTATCATTTAGACGTTTGAAATACTCAAAAAAGTCATCAAGGGAAGCAATATTTTCTTGTTTAACATTTGTTTTATTAATAATCTTCCAATATTGCTTAGGGTCAGTATGCTTTAATTTACGTAGCTTGATGATTGTATTATTATTAAAATTATTCTTCGCCTTTCGTAAAGTACCTTTATACTGTTTACTTACAGATTTTAATAGTTCTTTGAAATATGGAGTTTTAAATTTATTGTAAGCTTTTCTAGTTTTATGATAGGTATCTCTCATCATATTACATGACCTATCAAACCATGGAAATGTGTTCTTTTCACTTGACATGTCTGGTTTTTGTGTACAAAACCCAAAAGAAATTTCTGAACTTTCTTGAAACAAATTTGAAATATTAAAAACAATATCATCCAGTTCATTTTGTAAAACAATATCATTCTCGTTTAATTGGTCAAGTTTCATTTCAATTTCAGAAATCTAAAAAATTTCAAGATTTTCAGCAAACAATTCAGTCTTTTTGCAATCCCATAATATTGGTTTTGGGGTAAATCGTTTACATTGTACCATTGTATTAAGAATGTCACATGATTTAACTTTAATTACAGCCTCTAGAGCACAATGCACATCAGAAAGTAGGCTGCAAAAGTCATGAATTTTAAAGTCTACAACATTTTCAAAAACATAAGATGAAGACAAAAAATAATCTATAGTACACGCCTTTGAAAACCATTTGTTACTTTGTATTAGATCATACAAACAATTGTACATTCAAGGAAACTTTTAATCGCGCGGCGTGATTACTTGCTTGCCTGTTTGTGTTTGTTTGTTTATTTGTTTGTTTGTGTATTCTTTTGTCCGTCCAACATCTCGTTTGATAATTTAATAATTCGATTCTTGTTGCTTCGTTTGACTGTAAAGCATTAAAACCCTCCTAAAAATTGATAAAGAATGAAACTCGTACGTTACACATGTGTTTTAGCAAAAAGATTTTACAATGTAAAATTTCTTATTATCTGACAAGCAGAAAATAGTTTCTGGTTTTTATTTTTATTAAAGTCAAGCGTGTTCTCATAATGCATTTAATAATGCTTTTTTTCCTTGCCTTTAATGGCCATCCACAACATGCAACGGATTTTGTTTGAATTAGAATAATTAATTTATAAAATTATTGTAATAATTCAAAAGCTGTTTGGAAGAAATATGTTTGAATGTTATTTTTTTACAAGTGAATGGCGTATACAAAGAACTATAGGTAACAAGTCAAATGTTACTAAAAAAAAGCTGCACAATAGAATGATACAGAACAGTTCATTAAGTTAACGTACCATATTCACGTATATTAGAAAATAGAAGACATTTAATGTATTTTTCATTGGATACATCTTTATATTCTTTACAAAGTTCTGTTTTATCTCACATTTACATAATAATTAAAATGTCAAGTTTTCATTTTAATTATAATTCAAGTGTTAATCTTCGAAATAATGTATGTAAATATATTTTAATTCAGGAAATGAATGAAATAACAGTTAACCTTTGCAATTCTTATCAATGATATGATATAAAAGTGTTTCATTTTATTTCACAATTCCTCATGATTTTACCTCTCCTATTTTTCAAAAATTAACATTGAGACAAGCAGTCAGGTTTTTTTTTAATTTTTGGTTTGTTTTACTTTCTGTCCCCCCGGAAAAATATTCAATACCTTTGTATCTATTCTATTGAGTTAAAGATCTTATAAATTTAACCAATCGACAATCTGCATTTGTAACTCATGACCGTCCAATATATTCCCGTATTGGATCCAAAATATATTATTTTCATATTGGACGATTGGGTGCATGTGCATTAAGCGATGCCTGTCTGGTTTCCGATAAATGTAAGATGTTACTATGTATAATTTGTTTAGACAATGTTAACTGTTATTTTCTTGAACTCACAGAAAATGATAAAAAATAAATAACGTCACCAAAGTATTTGTTGTATCAATCAAATCATAACACTTATGTATGTACACAACAAAACCACTCATGAATTATTACCTTTTCTTCTAAAACAATTTTAACAGGGGTGCGGATAGTGATATTTCGGTGGTTTTGTTGGGGATGATAATGATGATGATGATGATGATATTTCAAATTAAACGAAAGATATATAATGAAAATGTTATTATACATTTTACTGGTACAATACGGAATATATTTGGACTCGTAAACAGCTTGAAAAGTCATATTGGATTGCCAATATGACTTTTCAAGGTGTATACTCGTCCAAATATATTCCCGTATTGTACAATCAAATTTATAAGAACATATAATTATTGCAGGTGCTGATGCTTACCGGTCTGATATATGTGACCTTTGTAATCATGGAACTGACGTTTTTCTTTACGATAACACTTAGTTTGTTTGATTTACAAAAACATGAGCAAATCAAACATGTATACATAAAAAAGAAATAAATGTTCATGCCATCACTGCTTTTCACTTTTTCCAGATTCCTTGTATATTGTACTTGTAGTGATATTTTTATGTATAGTAGTTTAGAGAAAAAGTTCCAGTAAATGCATACAAATCTTGGCATACAATTATTGAATTTTATTACAAAGATACGTAATAGGTATAGTATATGAAACGAGCTACATACAAGGGTTAAACACTAGCTGGGGAGACATCGAGGGAAGTTTCTGATATCAATGGAATACAATGGGCTAGAAAGAACAATATCTTTAAGGCTTTAATTGCAGGGTTAGGATTTTTTCTTTGTTCATACTAACCCATTCTATTCAGCACATTTTCAATAAAGATTTTAAAAACTGTAATATCAATAATAGATATATAACAGTGCTGTTTTGTCATGGATTATATGTAACAGTTGAGTCTTTTTGCACCTGTTATATATCAGTGTAGATTTTTACAGAGTTTGGAATCGGACAGAGGTATCACATATTCCTAATAGCATAACAAACAACATTTATTAGTTGGTATTGATTCATTTTTGCAAGGGATTACATTTGAGACAAAAGGGTAAGAGCACAAGAAAGGGAAAATCACTGAACATAGTATTTATTGCTGTTTTCTGCTAAAAATTATGAAATTACGATACAACAGTTATAATATAAAAAAAACTCGTTCGTTACGCGAGATAACATTGGCTGGGCGACATTTCGGGATATTTTTGCAAAACAAAACACCATCCCGCCCCGAGGGCCTTGACATTAACATCTCACGAAGTTGCCCCAGCCAGTGTTATATCCTTGTAACTAACTTGTTTCGTACACATATAAAGAAAAACGGCGTAATAATTGTTTTACTCAGCTGGTTGATCTTATAAAAATGGAAAAGAAAAGTAACACCTCGGAGGTCGTCCGACACGATCAAATTAAAATTGTTATAAAGTCGATATGATTTTTATTAATAAATATTCGATTGTAAACATATCTAAAAAGAAAAGAGTGGTCATTACGCAAACGTGAAATTTTATTATATTAGGTTAGTGTTTGTTTTAATTAATGAATATTCATACGTTTCATCTATAATCACATTCATCTTAAATGCATTTTAGTGTTAACTTCATAACATTTTGTCCGAAAAACAAAACGTTTTTAATGAGTGTTTCTTAATTACAAAAGGGTTTATTCCTGCACAATCCGAGCCCAATACACATAAAATGCACCTTTCCCTTGCACATCGGTACACCGCATCATTATAGGTATGTTTTGGAGTTCCCAAAGTCTTGGACGAGTCTGGATATCAGCTGTGCTATTATCATGGCATCCGGCATATTGGAACTCACACCTCCCTGTCTCTAGGGTACAACTAAGGGCTTCACAGCAAATCCGAGAATATGGATTACTTATAAAGTAACTTATCATTAGTTCCTCTCGCCCCTTTAAGTCTGCGTCACCATACCTAGGAAGAAAGAATCATGAACTTATACATACTTTAAAACAGAATAATTTCTTTTTTATGATAAAAATGTTTATTTCTTGGAATGCTCTTTAAAGAAGTAGAAAACATATTATTACGTGAATATATAATGAAGACAGAAAACTTTTGTACTTTATAACTTGGCCTGATTACCGCTGTATGAACCCATCTTCTTATGTTTCATAATGCAAATCTTCGTGTTAAAGGTTGAATTCTGCTTAAGCCGATGGTATTGGAAAGGCGTGGACGGTAACCTGCACTTTTCACTACCGTCCATGAACTAGCCCAGTCAAATCGAGCCTGCAACATTTTCAAATTTGTCGTTTTGGTTGTGCGTTCTTTAGGGATTCCGTTTCTCGATATTCTATTTCAAAATATTAAGTTGACGGTTTCAATTTAAAATGAAATGAGGAATATTTCATCCATGTTTGCACAAAATATAATTACAGTACTATTAACAAGTAACTAAGAAAGAGAGGGTGAAAGGTAGTTCTAATGCTTATTTCTTGGTCACTACTTTATTTTTTACTTACAAGCATTCTTGTTTTTGAAGGCCGGCCCAGCAATATTGCGAAGTCCATGCATTTGAAAGTGACAGGAAAGAAAGGAATATGGCAAGCCAAATAAACACCACCATTTTAAGAAATCTGCAATATCAACATAAAGTGTTACAGTAATTTATCAAAATTCAAAGAAATAAATTTAGACTTTTAACCTTATGTATTGTCACTGAGCACCATAATCTCAATTATCTTTTTCCTCTAATAAGGCGAGAAAACATTGAACTTCGTCAAAACTGAGAAAATATCATCACAATGTTTAAAATATATATTTAGATATTATCTTAAAGGCACATTATTGCCCAGAAACGAATACATTATAACTACATTTATTTTCAATGAAAATGGTAAATATGAGTTTTATATAAATAAATATAAAATAATTAAAATTAGATGAAAGAAGTGCTAAATATGAAATAATTTGTCATAAAAATAGCAAAATATAAACAGAGTAGCATTTTGACTTCAATAAAAATACTTAATCACTATAACTGTACTAATTGTCAAATAGCAACAGAAAAAGGGTCAGGTTATTGGTTAATGAATAACTCTTTGGAAACTATTAAAGTATATCAAAAGTTATAATCAATTACAAAATAGAAATAAAAAAAAAACATTTCAGGGGTATAATGGGCCTTTGATAGGTATAAACATAATTAAACAAAACTAATTAATGTTAACGAAAATCACGCAATATATGTCATATCAATTATACCTCAAAAAGTGTTGTCACATCACGAAGTTGTAAAATCTACTGAAAGTTTTACTATATATTTTATTTATGCATATACTTTATAGGATATTGCAAAGCAATAATATTCTCTCCAGACATTTTTAACGGTCCTTCTCAAAACAAAATTTAAAGCAAGACTTAAAAATAACGTTATTATTTAATAATATGAAATATTGAGTCTTCAAAATGTCTCAAACATTATTTATTTAATTTATTTACCTGGTATATATCACTTCACAGCAGTGTCGCTTCCGTCAAGATGAGAAAATGCTATTACAAAGAATGCTTATATATAGACAAAACATCACGTGTCATTCAAGCAAGCGTATACAAAGTTATACCATGACAAATTAAACTGTGTATTTGACAAAAGTCATATGTAATTTACAGACCTATGTATTTGCAATTTGCCGAAACTTAGAAACAATGTCCCACAATGTGCCTTCCCCTTGTGAACCTACTCGTGACGACATGAAGCTGATCGTCTTCTATACGATTTGCCATAATGCCAGTAAATAAACACATAAGAAATTTCAAATTCCTGTAAAGATATTGAATTACTTAATATGATGTGATTAAGTATTTAACGATAATATAAGCACACTTTTAAAATCTAATATATACATTACATGTATATATTCCATAGATATACGTAAACATGCTTTTCATTTAAAGGAACCACTTTTTCTGCGTCTGAAAAACATGTACAAAAAAAAAAAAAAAAAAAGGTTGACTTTATTTCCAAGATATATGTAACTTAAACATATATTTTGCCGGTGAAATAAATTCTATATAATGTACATGTTTGTATTTTATTTTTGTATTTTAAATACTTTTACGCTGATGTACACGTGTGTTATCAAAGCAAAATACTATTAAGATGAGAATTTATAGCAAGCAAACTGAATTCATTTAATTTAATACTTCTTCCTACTTTTCACTTTCAAATATCATATTTGTATGATTTCAAAGACAGGAAGCGAGAAAAAAGCATAATTCAATGAAAAATTTGACGAAATAGGATAGGCAATAAAATCGTTCGGCCATTGTACTCATTAAATTTGGTTCGGCCATTGTACTCGTTTATAAAAAGATGCACAACTTTGTTATGCAACTTAATAAAGGATGGAAATTGTTCTGGACGGACAAACTTTCGATTGTACAGAAGATGTCATTGCTAATTTTGCTCAAAATGTGTTTCTTTTACCGAAAACAACGTATTTTAGTATCTGTTCGGCCATTGTACTCATCACCCAAAACATTTTTTTCGACTTTCAGGCCTAAACGCTACAAAGTAACCAATAACAGAACAGTACGTGGTTTTTATACAGGGATTCCGTGCGGCCTAGTTAAACACATAAATTTAACGTAAACTGTATGCTTACCCCAATTTCACTGCTTTAACCGAGCGGGTAGGCCGCCATTTTATGAGCCCATTGTACGATTTTGGTCACGTGATCATCCGCAGTGTTATATGCTGTATATGATAATGTACTATGTACAAAAACAAAAAATGTTCTGTCCCGTTCTGTTATATATTGAATTGAATTTTGAAAGTGACAATTTAGCATTTAAAGTTACTAAAATTGATGTGCTGACAGAAAAATTAAGTTGCGCATATATTAACCCGGTAGATTAGCATTTGAAATTATTTAAACTTGTCTAACATAATGTCAGGTAAAACTTGAATATAGTGTTTACTTTTTCTAGAATTACCACGCATGTCGCACATGACAATCTAAAGTACAATTAAACTTCAATTGTCATTGTACACAAATGATTTATATCGTATTCTAAGTATTATGATGAAGTGACATTTGTTATCACATTTTGTTATAAAGGAACTTGCAATTATCAAATAAATTATGATAATTTATTCATTGTTGTCAAATATATGCATTTGTACTTTTAGACAAAGATGAATGTGACAATGCAATGTTTCATGCAGCTTTAACAAATTGTTGTAATTTTGATGCATTGATGCAAATTTAGTCAAAATGAAAATGTAATATAATTAAATAACAGCAAACAATACATATTTATTGCTAGATCTGTGTCTGTGTTCTAAGTATTAAGATGAAGTGACATTTATCATCACATTAAATTTCATAAAGGCACTTGCAACCATCAAATATGATGATTTGTACACTGTTGTCAAACATATGTATCAGCACTTTTAGAAAATGAATGTGATAGTGCATTGTTTTGACACTGCCTTATTTAATATGGTTGTAATTAAGTCATAGCAAAGCATGAAATATGACTGATTTTTTGTTGTTCACTACTACTTTTGTTAAATACAAATTCAGGTTAAGTTAAAACTTAATTTTCAGTGTAGTTTACATTTCAAAATAAAGTTATGATTGTTTTTTCGATAGACATAAGCAAAAATACATTTAATAAATGTTCTAGATAGATTTCTGTAATTCTGATACTTTTGTTTCATCATTCTGTTTAAAGATGGAAAACTACAAATTATTGCAAAAGTAGTTAGCCCAAAATACTCTTCCGATCATGAAGTAACCGTATCCAATATTATAGTTTATAATATTATCTAAAGATAGCTGCTACCTCATTGACCAAAGAGAAGTCAACGGAACAAATTATAAAATCATATTTTTGGGAATAGTATCATATTCACTAGCTGAATCGTATTTTCCCTATCTAAAATAGAATCAGACTCATATTCAATGACCATACAGCAAAGTCTACTGTACTTAAAATTGTTGCATTTCTTTTTTATGGCATATTTCTCGATTCAAAAATCTAAACGCTTTGGCTCTTCAGTAAGTTTGTAATTTATTTAAACATACACAACACCGTGATACAAGTCAAGCAGATTGTAACCAGGTTGGAAGCAATCGATAAAGTAAAATTCGTGTTATTGAGTCTAAGTTTTTGTTAAGTACTGGGGATTATTTTTATAGAATTTATTTCAACATATTGTGCGCCACCATGCACATCTTACTTTTAAGGTTTTTATCTAGTGTGAAAACTAATAGTAATCAGAAACATCATTAACGTTTTCTCTTCTGTATTGATGAAGATAACAAATTAAATTTATATCATCAAATATAATAATAAATTATGTAAGACTTTAATTCATCTACTAAGACGCGCGATTGTAACAGAAAAGGGGACCACCAGTTGCATAGTGTTGATGCTGAAACCTTGAATACTAGGTTGCTATGTTAACAAAAACTCAGCTTATGTAAAAAATGAAATTATTTGGTTTTATTTAAATAAGTGGGACTAAAACACTTAAAAGATTGTTGTTTTCTTCAGGGCAACATGTTTTGTTGGTAGCTTACTGAAAAATAATGATTAATAAGATGTTTCTTTGAAATATCGCCAAGCGCCTTAATTAATAAGAAAGTAATTTTGAAAGGTTGCAACTGCTGCCATTTTCGGTAACAGCCACCCTTATATAGCTGTCGGGTGTTGGCAAACATAGCGTCAGCCAATCAGAACTTGCAAACATAAAAATTCGTAAAAGGTTCTACATGTTTTTAAAGGAATAAACATCATTCACTCGACATACATAAAATGTATACATGTTAAACATAACAAAATGTTCCTAAATAATGACTAGAGATAATCATTAATATATCAATATATCAAAACTAGTCTTGACATATAGAAATAATAATTGCCAACATTTGCCAACTTTCTTACGCACAAGTGCCCTAAATAAATCCTTAGAATCAATCACTTTCAAATACAATAAGACTATCATCCATAACAGTATTTCATATGTAATGCAAAAATATACCTTAACAATATTGTTTTTAATTCAGCTTGTAACACAAACTTTAGTATTAGCATATATATCAAAGATGACAACAATATTCTTAAACCATTTTGTTCAAGTCAATATGGCCGCTTAATTCAATTGCAAAACGTTTTGTATCATTGTACACACAATTATGGATTTAAACAGATACAAAATAAATCACAATGCTATAAACTTTGCTGTTTAGGTATTTAATAACATCATATAACTAATAATGGAGATAATTTGGATTAAAATTCTGCAATACGGTGAGCATTACTTGTACCTATTGATGTTTGGACAAAACATATGATTCGGATAAAACATATTACAATATAATCGATGAATGCAAAAGATGTCTAGCAGTATTGTGAACCAATGTGAACATTGAAAATGTGTCACAGAAAAGTTTTCAAATGAAAAGTGATTATTATTAATGAACAAATAATCTATCTCAAGAAAATGCAATCCTAACTTTAAAAGGAACTTGTAGGACTGGTATAAAACCGTAACATATACTGTGAAGAATTTCAGCATCTGACGGAATTGTTTGGAAGATGACATATTTGTTAGAGTTATTAGAGTAACAGGTTGTCTTTTGTCAATGTTTTACAAATGTCGAATGATTGTCATTTCAAATTCTGCTCAGAGTAAATACCCCCCCCCCCCCCAACCATTTGTGTATCGGGTTCTCTTGAAAGACTTGGCTCGTATTTCTCTTTCTTCTAAAGTCATTATACTGTCTTAACTTCGTAGTGTGCTGTTCCTTCTGCTGTAAAAAACCAACAAAGTAACAATAAATGTCTAAAATAATGATATAATGATAATAATTTCTAATAGTATCATTAGCTGATATCTGTCAGTAGTTTTGTTTAACGTGAGTTAAAAGAAAACATTTATCTAATATGTTTGACATAAAACACCGTGTATAATCAGAAACGCAGGAATGCAAGAACAGCACAGGTATATTGTGCAAGGCTATGACAGAAACGAGTTACACAGTTTGTAACTGGATTTAAATTATTTTATCATATTCCAAATTAAATTTAAAGAGATAAATGTGCACATACTGCTGCATAAACATTATTTTTAACAACTTTAACCAGCATTTCTAAAATGTCCATGAATATGTTAACTGTTTAAGAAATTTCATGAGCATGACAACCTAACTACCGTTTTAAAGTGTTCTGTCGATGTTAATACATTAAGGAAGCAAATGAAATATTATGTAGGTACTTTTATGAGGTAGCCTCCGTTACAACACATAATTTGACAGATATTCCAGATAAACCAACTACATGTATCAAATTCAGTAGATGTAATATATACGATATTTTATTAAAACATCTTGATAAAACACGCCTTTGAAAACCATTTGTTACTTTGTATTAGATCATACAATTGTACATCCAAGGAAACGTTTAATCTCGCGGCATGATTACTTGCTTGCCCGTTTGTTTGTGTTTGTTTGTTCATTTGTTTGTTTGTGTATTCTTTTGTCCGTCCAACATCTCGTTTGATAATTTAATAATTCGATTCTTGTTGCTTCGTTTGACTGTAAAGCATTAAAACCTTCCTAAAAATTGATAAAGAATGAAACTCGTACGTTACACATGTTTTTTAGCAAAAAGATTTTACAATGTAAAATTTCTTATTATCTGACAAGCAGAAAATAGTTTCTGATGTTTTTATTTTTATTAAAGTCAAGCGTGTTCTCATAATGCATTTAATAATGCTTTCTTTTCTTGCCTTTAAAGGCCATCCACAACATGCAACGGATTTTGTTTGAATTAGAATAATTAATTTATAAAATTATTGTAATGTTTCAAAAACTGTATGGAAGAAATATGTTTGAATGTTATTTTTTTACAAGTGAATGGCGTATACAAAGAACTATAGGTAAACAGTCAAATGTTACTAAAAAGAGCTGCACAATAGAATGATACAGAACAGTTCATTAAGTTAACGTACCATATTCACGTGTATTAGAAAATAGAAGACATTTAATGTTTCAACTCTTCCAAGAATCGCTCATAAGATAATGAAAAGAACATTATTTTACAATTTATAAACTATATTTCATTAAGCCTCGGTCTCACTTACTCCCGGCAGAGCCCAGGACCATCCCGGTAAGTTACCGGGATGATCCGGGACGATCCGGGATGAAAATATTGTTGCGGTCACACTTACACCGGCAGCACTACGGTAGTTCCCTACTAAGCACCCAGGATGCGCTCCGGATCATCCAGGCAGAGCCATGGTGAAGCTACGGTTCATGCCGGTGCTTCCCCGGTCGTTCCCGGATGACGCCGGAAGAGCCCCGTTGACCCAGGCAGAGCCCCGGTCGATCCAGGCAGAGCCCGGCAGAGCCCAGGACGATCCAGGCAGAGCCCCGGTAGAACCCCGGTGGATTGAAAACGCCCGAAAATGATAACTTTGATACATAAATTTTTATTTAATATAATATCTATTGTTCCAGAATAGTAATTCATGATGATTTTCTGAAAAATCCTTATGCCATACTGGATAGAAGGGAAATGCGAAGGCTTTTAATACAAACAAGTTCAATCATCGCAAATTGCTCCTTATTCTTTTGAAATGATCCGGGCTTTGCCGGGGCTCTACCGGGATCAACCGAGCTCTACCTTAATCCTCCGGGCTCTGCCTGTAGTTACCGGGCTCTGCCGGCATATACCGGGGCTCTACCGTAGCTCTACCGTAGCTCTACCGGCTTATATCATATCCCCGGATCATCCCCGGTTTGTGCGGCAGAGCTACGGTGCTTTCCCGGTATAACCCCGGTCGTTCCCGCAGAGCTAAGGATGAAGCCGGCAAAGCTATACCTTCCCGGATCATCCCGGACCACCCCGGTGATATTAAATATTTTATTCCATCCGGGGTCGAATGCCGGATGTTCCCGGATCATCCCGGATCATCCAGGACGTTGCCGGCAGAGTTACGGATGTACCCCGGTTGTTCCCGGTCGTACCCCGGTCGTTCCCGGATCACCCCGGACGTCTACCGGGGCTCTGCCGGGGCTTTGCCGGGATGTAAGTGAGACTGTAGCTTTAGATACATCTTTATATTCTTTACAAAGTTCTGTTTTATCTCACATTTACACAATTGTTTGTTATATGATGAATTAAAATCTCAAGTTTTCATTTTAATTATAATTCAAGTGTTAATCTTCGAAATAATGTATGTTAATATATTTTAATTCAGGAAATGAATGAAATAACAGTTAACCTTTGCAATTCTTATCAATGATATGATATAAAAGTGTTTCATTTTATTTCACAATTCTTCATGAGTTCGCCTCTCCTATTTTTCAAAAATTAACATTAAGACAAGCAGTCAGTTTTTTTTTTTAATTTTGGTTTGTTTTACTTTCTGTCCCCCCGGAAAAATATTCAATACCTTTGTATCTATTCTATTGAATTAAAGATCTAATAAATCTAACCAATCGACAATCTGCATTTGTAACTCATGACCGTCCAATATATTCTCGTATCGGATCCAAAAATATATTATTATCATATTGGACGATTGGGTACATGTGCATTAAACGATGCTGGTCTGGTTTCCGATAAATTTAAGATGTTACTATGTATAATTTGTTTAGACAATGTTATCTGTTATTTTCTTGAACTCACAGAAAATGATAAAAATAAATAACGTCACCAAAGTATTCGTTGTATCAATCGAATCATAACACTTATGTATGTACACAACAAAACCATTCATGAATAATAACCTTTTCTTCTTAAACAATTTTAACAGGGGTGTGGATAGTGATATTTCGGTGGTTTTGTTGGGGATGATGATGATAATGATATTTCAAATTAAACGAAAGATATATGTAATAAAAAGATTACTATACATTTTACTGGTACAATACGGAATATATTTGGACTCGTAAACAGCTTTAAAAGTCATATTTGATGTCCAATATGACTTTTAAAGGTGTGTACTCGTCCAAATATATTCGCGTATTGTACAATAAAATTTATAATAACATATAATTATTGCTGGTGCTGATGCTTACCGAGTAAGTTATAGTAATTTAGAGAATAAGTTCCAATAAATGCATACAAATCTTGGCATACAATTATTGAATTTTAATATAAAGATACGTAATAGGTATAGTATATGAAACGAGCTACATACGAGGGATAAACACTAGCTGGTGAGACATCGAGGGAAGTTTCTGATATCAATGGAATACTATAGGCTAGAAAGAACAATATCTTTAAAACATTAAGGAAAAGGCTTAAATTGCAGGGTGATGATTTTTCTTTGTTCATACTAACCCATTCTATTCAGTACATTTTCAATAAAGATTTTAAAAACTGTAATATATCAATAATAGATATATAACAGTGCTGTTTTGTCATGGATTATATGTTCAGTTGAGTCTTTTTGCACCTGTTATATATCAGTGTAGATTTTTACAGAGTTTGGAATCGGACAGAGGTATCACATATTCCTAGTAGCTTAACAAACAACATTTATTAGCTGGTATTGATTCATTTTTGCGAGAGATTACATTTGAAACAAAAGGGTTAGGGCACAAGAAAGGGAACATCACTGAACATAGTATTTATTGCTGTTTTCTGCTAAAAATTATGAAATTACGATAAAACAGTTATTATATAAAAAAAACTCGTTCGTTACGCGAGATAACATTGGCTGGGCGACATTTCTGGATATTTTTTTTCAAAACATAACACCATCCCGCCCCGACGGCCTTGACATTACTATCTCACGAAGTTGTCCAGCCAGTGTTATATCATTGTAACTAACTCGTTTCATACATATATATTAAGAAAAACGGCGTAAGGATTGTTTTACTCAGCTGGTTGATCTTATAAAAATGTAAAGAAGATATAACACCTCGGAGGTCGTCCGACACGATCAAATTAAAATTGTTATAAAGTCGGTATGATCTTTATTAATAAATATTCGATTGTAAACATATCTAAAACGAAAAGAGTGGTCATTACGCAAACGTGAAATGTGATATAAGGTTAGTGTTTGTTTTAGTTAATGAATATTCATACGTTTCATCTATTATCACATTCATCTTAAATGCATTTTAGTGTTAACTTCATAACATTTTGTCTGAAAACAAAACGACTTTTAATGGTGTTTCTTAATTACAAAAGGGTTTCTTCCTGCACAATCCGAGCCCAATACACATAAAATGCACCTTTCCCTTGCACATCGGTACACCGCATCATTATAGGTATGTTTTGGAGTTCCCAAAGTCTTGGACGAGTCTGGATACTAGCTGTGCTATTATCATGGCATCCGGCATATTGGAACTCACACCTCCCTGTCTCTAGGGTACAACTAAGGGCTTCACAGCAAATCCGAGAAAATGGAATGCTTAGAAAGTAACTTATCATTAGTCCCTCTCGCCCTTTTAAGTCTGCGTCACCATACCTAGGAAGAGAGAATCATGAACTTATACATACTTTAAAACAGAATAATATCTTTTTTATGATAAAAATGTTTATTTCTTTGAATGCTCTTTAAAGATGTAGAAAACATATTATTACGTGCATATATAATGAAGACAGAAGACTTTGGTACTTTATAACTTGGCCTGATTACCGCTGTATGAACCCATCTTCTTATGTTTCTAAATGCAAATTTTCGTGTGAAAGGTTGAATTCTGCTAAAGCCGATGATATTGGGAAGGCGTGGACGGTAACCTACACTTTTCACTACCGTCCATGAACTAGCCCAGTCAAATCGAGCCTGCAACATTTTCAATTTTGTCGTTTTTGTTGTGCGTTCTTTAGGGATTCCATTTCTCCATATTCTATTTCAAAATATTAAGTTGACGGTTTCAATTGAAAATGAAATGAGGAATATTTCACCCATGTTTGCACAAAATACAATTACAGTACTATTAACAAATACTTAAGAAAGACAGGGTGAAAGGTAATTCTAATGCTTATTTCTTAGTCACTACTTTATTTTTTACTTACAAGCATTCTTGTTTTTGAAGGCCGGCCCAGCAATTTTGCGAACCCCATGCATTTGAAAGTGACAGGAAAGAAAGGAATATGGCTAGCCAAATAAATACCACCATTTTAAGAAATCTGCAATATCAACATAAAGTGTTACAGTAATTTATCAAAATTCAAAGAAATAAATTTAGACTTTTAACCTTATGTATGGTCACTGAGCACCATAATCTCAATTATATTTTTCCTCTAATAAGACGAGAAAACATTGAACTTCGTCAAATCTGAGAAAATATCATCACAATGTTTAAAATATATATTTAGATATTATCTTAAAGGCACATTATTCCCCAGAAACAAATACATTATAACTACATTTATTTTCAATGAAAATGGTAAATATGAGTTTTATATAAATAAATATAAAATAATTAAAATAATGGTTTTAGAGCACATTAGATGAAAGAAGTACTAAATATGAAATTATTTGTCATAAAAATAGCAAAATATAATCAGAGTAGCATTTTGACTTCAATAAAAATACTAAATCACTATTACTGTACTAATTGTCAAAAAGCAACAGAAGAAGGGCCAGGTTATTGGTTAATGAATAACTCTTTGGAAACTATTAAAGTATATCAAAGGTAATAATCAATTACAAAATAGAAATAAACAAGAGCACCGCTAGGCGGAGCATTATATGCCCGAAAGTGATTTTTTAGTAAAGATGAAGCATTTGTAAGACATGGGAGTAAAATAAAGTATTACCTCCTTCAAATAACAATCCTCCTTTGAAGTTTCAATATTGTGGTACAAATGGAATTTAAGTTATGACACAGAAACTGTTTTCAATTCTAAGGCAAAAGTGACCTTTGACCTTGTGACCCAAAAATCATTAGGGGTCTTCTACCCAATATGGACAATCATACTATGAAGTTTAAACACAGTAGGCCAAATGATACTTAAATTATGTTCCGAAAACTGTTTTCAGTTTTAAGGTTATAGTGACCTTGACCTTGTGACCCCAAAATCAATAGGGGTTTTCTACCCAATATGGACAATCGTCCTATGAAGTTTGAATATTGTGGGCTAAATAGAACTTAAAATATGCTCAAGAAACTGTTTTCAATTTCTAAGTAATAGTGACCTTGACCTTTGACCTTGTGACCCCAAAATCAATAGGGGTCTTCTACCCAATATGGACAATCATCCTATGAAGTTTGAACACTGTGGGCCAAATTGAACTTAAGTTATGACCCAGAAACTGTTTTCAATTCGAAGGTAAAAGTGACCTTGACCTTTGACCTTGTGACTCCAAAATCATTAGCGGTCTTCTACCCAATATGGACAATCATACTATGAATTTTAAACACAGTAGGCCAAATGATATCTAAGTTATGTTCCGAAAACTGTTTTCAGTTTTAAGGTAATAGTGACCTTGACCTTGTGACCCCAAAATCAAAAGGGGTCTTCTACCCAATATGGACAATCATCCTATGAAGTTTGAATATTGTGGGCTAAATAGAACTTAAAATATGCTCAAGAAACTGTTTTCAATTTCTAAGTAATAGTGACCTTGACCTTTGACCTTGTGACCCCAAAATCAATAGGGGTCTTCTACCCAATATGGACAATCATCCTATGAAGTTTGAACACTGTGGGCCAAATTGAACTTAAGTTATGCTCCGGAAACTGTTTTCAGTTTTAAGGTCATAGTGACCTTGACCTTTGAGCTTGTGACCCCAAAATCAATAGGGGTCCTCTACCCAATATGGACAACCATCCTATGAAGTTTGAACACTGTAGGCCAAATGAAACTTAAGTTATGCTCCGGAAACTGTTTTCAGTTTTAAGGTCATGGTGACCTTGACCTTTGACCTTGTGACCCCAAAATCAATAGGAGTCTTCTACCCAATATGGACAATCATCCTATGAAGTTTGAACACTGTAGGTCAAATGAAACTTTAGTTATGCTCCGGAAACTGTTTTCAGTTTTTATGTCATAGTGACCTTGACCTTTGACCTTATGACCCCAAAATCAATAGGGGTCTTCTACCCAATATGGACAATCATTCTATGAAGTTTGAATATTGTGGGCCAAATGAAACTTAAGTTATGCTCCGGAAACCAAATTGCTAACGGACGGACAGACAGACGGAAGGACGGACAAACGGACAGACGGACGGACGCCAGGGGGTATAACATAATATGTCCGAAATTCTTTCGGGCATATAAAAACATTTCATGGGTATAATGGGCCTTTGATAGGTATAAACATAATTATACAAAACTAACTAATGTTAACGAAAATCACGCAATATATGTCATATCTATTATACCTCAAAAAGTGTTGTCACATCACGAAGTTGTAAAATCTACTGAAAGTTTTACTATATATTTTATTTATGCATATACTTTCTAGGATATTGCAAAGCAATAATATTCTCTCAAGACATTTTTAATGGTCCTTCTAAAACAAAACTTTAAAACAAGCCTTAAAATAACGTTATTATTTTATAATATGAAATATTGAGTCTTCAAAATGTCTCAAACATTATTTAATTTATTTACCTGGTATATATCACTTCACAGCAGTGTCGCTTCCGTCAAGATGGATGAGAAAATGCTATTACATAGAATGCTTATATATACACAAAAGGTCACGTGTAATTCAAACAAGTGTATACAAAGTTATACCATGAAAAATAAATCTGTATATTTGACAAAAGTCATATGTTTGCAGTTTTTGTGTTTTGATTTAACAGGGAAATGTTTTATTTAAGGTGCAAAAGTATGGAATCTAATAATTCTTGACAATCATCAGGCCCCGTATTCATCAAGGTTTAAGAATCAGGATCAAATTTAAAAACTCAAATGTTCTCCATTGTTAATCTTCATACATAAGATATTCAATATTAAGCATAACTCAAATTTGCATGTTTATGAAATCTAAAATAAATGTATTGTTATTTTACAAGAAACGTGCATTTTACACTTGATCCAAATATTGATGTTATAAAATTCATCCTTATTTTTATCCTTTTTGCATTTGTTTTGTTATTTGTCGGATTTATCCAAAAATATTGTTGTTTCTTGCAGATCAACAATGTTTTACAATTTGTGTATGTACCATTGAATTCTATCAAAATGCTAGCAAACAATGAAAATAAAATCAGGATCATTTGATCCTGATTAATCAACATGGGGCCAGCACGACAAGTTAGGCGAGTAACTTTTATGAGGCCGTGTAGTAATGAATCAAAGTAATGATCATTATTTGCCCGTCGTGAGAGCGTTTCGTTCTATTTCAGCCTGAATTTTTGTAATATCTTCAAGATATATAAGTATCTATTTTTGTGTTGCCTGCTTCAGACTAACGGCGACATACAGGAATCGCTTTTCTGTCGTTTGTTCATCTGTTTGTCCGTCACAAAACGTAACCGGACTACTTTTCAAAAACTCCTGGTGCAAGTCTATCTAAACAGGAGTGATAAGTACTAGTAAGTCGAGTTGCGCATATCGTCGGCATTGTATAGTTAAATAATTTTTGTCAGAGTTATGGCCCTTTTATGACTTTTACTTTTAAAGTTTGTCTGGACTACTCCTCTTATACAACTTATGCAATTTTAATGAAACTTTACAGGAATGATCTGTCACTCAAGTGCTTGCGCATGTTTCTGCTTGAATGAGTTTTGGCCGAGTTATTGCCCTTAAATAAAAATGAGTTCTGTCTTGTTCATGAATATTTTTTTTATCAATGATCCCGGAGGGCCACTTAAATGTAGCAGCACTGAAGTGAAGTACGGGACATGTTTTACAGCTACCAGATTTTATGACTGACAATAGCCGACATTAAATTGTTGTAATCGAAGTGTTCTTTTGCTGGGGTGGGTTAGGAGATGATTACAGTTCGAAAAGTGGTTCACTTTACTTAGTACATAGATGTCATTACATACACTTTCGCTTAAAAGATTTTACTGGAATGAGTGACAGAGGATAGGAAAAGGTATATCTGGATAATTGCTCGAACATATGTCAAAGTTGTGATAAAATACCACTGTTTAAGTAAACGTCAGATTTAACTCGATTAAAAGTACAAATAAGTTTCTGCTGACTGATATGTCTAGCATGTAGAAATATTCAAATCACGTATAAAGCAAATATTAAACCCATGTTTAATTTGAAACATGTCATATTATTGCATAAATGATCTGCATTCATCATTCATGCGGCATCATAATACTATTAATGCAGTTAAATTGGATTTTTTACGTTCATCATTAATACAGTTTGAATTAGCAATTCAGTTTGAAGTACTTATGGTTACAAGTGCTATTTTAAGTCCGTTTATTATGCCCCTTTTGCTAAATTAAAAAAGATGGTCGGTATGTCTGTCCGTCGGTAGTTATAGTAACTGTTCTCGCTGATTATCTTAAAAACTTTTTATCAGAAAATCTTCATATTTCAAATATTGATTAGTCATATGTAGTAGAAAAACCTATTGATTTTGGGGTCGCTAGTTCATAGGTCCGGAAGGATGTGTCGGCTGAGATCTTGGCCTGCACAATTCACATGTGATGATATCAAATTAGTTTAATGATATTTTATTGCATATATAAATAGACATTTATTCTTTTATATAATTACACAAAATACAAAAGGCTTGCGTCCGAAGTGTTTGCAACATTATCGTGGGCCTCTGTAAATGTTTAACATCAGTTTCATAAAGTAAAGATAGTTTTATATTAAAGTATTTATACGATATAAATTTGTCTTTACTTTTTGAAACTGAAGATATGAATTACAACAAGCGTGCTTATAGAATAGCTGTTTTACTTAATCAATTTTATTCACCATTATGCTGGATCGGAAAGGGACAAGCTTGTGCAACCAGACCAGCTCGCAAATTCACATAATCGTATCTGGTCCTATATTGTCACCCTTTCATTTATTGACATTCAAAATATTGATATTGGAAGATATAATAAATGAAAGTCGGATGAGTCCATCCTTTACAGTTAAGCGTTAGAAATGCTATTTTGAGTAGTATATTTCTATACAAAATTACCAAATAAAAGATATTCAAGAATTAATATTGTAAAAAAGCATTCTGTTTATTCACTTTTGCCGTTTTGTTCTATAAAACCTTATAGCTTTAGCATAATATTTAGATGTCCAAATTCAGAAAACTGTAAAAGAACATCACACTGTGTACTTATATTTGCAGTTTTCATCAAATGAGTTGAAGAAACATTGACTTAAATGATGTTTTGCCACCTTTATATCATTTTTTTGTTTAATTTAGTACGAGTTTTCTCAACAGTTTAGATTTTAGTCGGCTAAAGAGAGACATACTAACTTTAAATAAATGCTTTCGGTGGGTGCTTGAGCATAATTTTAAAAATACTTCTCATAATTTAATCAAAATAAATCTGCATACAAGGTAAAATAGTTACTTCTAAGAAAAACGATGTCATTCACTTTTAATCAATATTTTAATATCACATGGATATTATTATCAAAAAGTAAAGTGAAAACATTGAAGGGCGTCCAAAACGATGAAAATGATATTTTTGTCATATTTGGTGATTTTATCGTCAAAAATCATATTTTGAAGAACAATGGGGCCATACTAAAAAAATAGGACTCTTAAAAAATAAAACTTTTTCCCCCAATTCGCTATACTTTTGATGCATATTGGGAAATTAATAAGAAAATCCCAAAATTATTGTTTAAAAACCCAAAAATTTCAGCGAACAACTGCAAATCTTCATATTGTAAACAGACTATACCTGAACGTACTGATAGTCTTAACCCCAATCATGCAACGCAATGTCCTTTGCTAGAAATCGGCCATTTTGCAACAAACGTATCATATGATCAATTGTTACACAATTTTGTTTATTTGTTGTTTTTTGTGGGTTTTTTTGGGGGAGGGGGCGATTGGTAATACAGCAAGAAGAAGTAGTACATAAACCGCCCGATTCAAATATTTGAACTCACTTAAGTTCTTCATTTCTTTGTCATATAGACAACTTTTTTTTTCATTTTTTATTTACAAAACAAAAGAAAAAGTATACATAAGAATACAACATTTAATGAAAGTCAAAATCACAATATCACAATGTATAATTTGTAAAATTGTGAAGAAAAGAAACCCAATCAATCGCTAAAAACGACATAAATGAAAAACTCGGAGGCTAATTTGATTGAAAAACAACGCATACAAATCTCTTTGGGATATCCATTGTCTTTTTAGTGTATATTTCTGTTTAAACAGTGAAAAGGATTGTTTGGAATAAGTAACACTAAGTAATCAAACTTATTTGCTAATACAATAAATGAAAAACATAGGTATAATACATTTATCACAAGCATGTGAAAATACAAAACACTGTTATTTTGAATTGCATGCGTTTCTTTTACCTGAACTTCATACAAAAATCTTAACTAGCATTTCAAAATTATAATCTATCTCGAAAATCCTTCTTTTATGATCCTAAACCTTCTGGTATGATGTTGCTCGCGTATTTTTTGTATTTTACAATATCATTCCTAATTTTTCAAACTGAGTTTTCCAAATTAAAATCACAGAAAGTCAATTACACAATAATTAATGTATTAGGTTATCTTGCACGATCATAAAAGAAACTGATGAAATAGTCTAACAAATACTTAGAAATCCTAATAGGAAAATAATGACCTAAAACGGAACCATTTCACAACAAAACTATGAAAAACCACACACATAGTCATGATATTTCATACTAGGCAAATTAAACGTAGTCGACAGAACAATGTTGATACAAAATATGCAAAAACAAAGGTTCTGCATGTCGGAACACTTGCCCGATTGCCCTATTGATCCTGTTTTTGCGGTTGTGTAAGGGGATGCGTTCATTAAATCCTGCTTTTACATTTTGATTTTATTCTTCATATTTCATCACATTTAAATATTGTACAATTTTTTTTCGCTGCACACACTTCGAACAAGACTGAATTAAAATAAAGAAAACAACCAGAACAAGTCATGGATCGGACAACGTTTTTAAATGTCACTGTCAAGTTAACTTTGGACTTAATGACTCCTAATTCAAAAGGGATCATCAAAATGTCATGCACAATGCCATTACTGTTTCACAAACTTAGACCTATTTATTCCTTCTTACGTTAAATATCGGATATGAATATAACTGACATTAACGTTTAACCTATTTACCTTATCATACAAAAGGGTCTTCTACAGTTCAGGTACAGTTAAGGATAGGTCTACGGCTTATTTTAAAGGCGTATCACTATAAAACAAACGTGTTTGCTGTCATGACATTTCCAGTGTTTACAGATTTATGTAAATTGGCTAACTTGTTATCCAATTGCTACACTGAGATAGTACATAGTCACTGGTTGACCTGGTTTGCACAAAAGAACACATGGTTTTGTTTGTGATACTGTTTGTGAGCAGTTGACCTAGCAATGAATGGAAAAGGCTTCGATTATGTCTATGGCACAGTTTCATGCAGCCATGGTTTCTTGTCTTATATGCCGCTTTTCATGTTATGGCACTAGCGTTGTACATTGGAGGTTTCATGATCAACGCCATATGAACACATCTACTGATGTTTAAAAATTCAAAAGGCTCACTTTAAGGATTCTGTTTTCTGTTTATCTTTTTTAGGCAAGTAAGACTAAGACAAACAACCGTGCATTTAATGCACTGACCAGTGAACGTGGAAGGCGATACACAGCTTACTTGTGTACAGTTTCAAGCTTCCATTAATAAAATCAATCGAAACCCTGAACATTTTACAACACTTACACTTTTCGTTTTCAGCTAGCATATCAAAGTAGTTAAAAATTCAAATTATTCTCAGAAAATTATTTTCCATTGGACCAAACTCATAGTAAACTTCAGTAAATGTCATATCCTTATTAAAATAAACTACCGGACAAAACATGATTTTCAAAATCCATTTTCAACAGCAACAGAAAAACTCGAAATATGTTTGCCAAAACAAGTAACTTTTCATTCTATCAAATATGAAAAACAAGATCGACCAGAAAGGGTGGCATTCAATGCACTAAACCTCCACACGACCAAGTAAGACAGTACTATCGGCAAGGAGCCAAGCAGGACTCCAAACAAAACAGGACAGAGCAAAGGGCGTCTCGGTCCTCATTATTTAAATCTTTTATTCTTTATAATCAATGTTTGGATTAACAACCCAAGTTTAAATATGTCCTTTTGCTGATCAACGAGCTTTGAACAAACAGTTGGCTCACGTCGAATCTGAACATCACCAGTTACCTAAAAAGCAGAACAATAAGATGATTGGGTTTTTATCAATTTTCTTTTTGAGATAGACAAAACATTTAACATGCCAATAACTTTATTGTTAAAGGATACAATTTCGTGACATTGGTATCAATTCGTTTGTAGACCTCTAAACAAACGAATTGATATTTTGTACTCAGATGTTTCTGTTAACTTCATTTTTACTCTCAATGTAAATTGTTTATGTTGTATGTACTGAATGCTTTTTCTTAAAACAATTAAAAAATTTAATCAAACGAACTATGAAAACGAATGCTATAAATGAGAACGTTATGTTGGTAAAATAAATCCACGGATTTGGGAAATACTCAAAATACTAAAAATCTGGAAAAAAAGTCGTAAGTAATCATTATTATCTGAATAAAAGTTGTGTTACAATTGACAGAATAATAATAATCTTGCAAAATAGAACTCTGTTATATGTGTGTGTTCCTTAATTAATCGGTCGTGTTTCGGTAATGGAACTCAATTTCTGTTTGATCTATATATCCTGGAAATTTGGCCAAAATGTTGTTTATATGCTTTTAAGCTAAAGTTCTTGGGTCAAAACTAGATAGCAGTCCAAAAGAAGGCATCTATGGAGAAACCCTACGTACATTTGCACTTTTTCAGTTGCAGATATGAGCGTTACGATATGAGTTTAAGTAAATGTCATTTTATCTGCTTTTTATTCACGTCTAACAATAATAATTAAGAGCCTTATAAAACAGGTGATAGATATAATGACCATGATGACCCTCTTGTTTTATAACTATTAATGATGGCAGGGACTATCCTTTACATATAATTTTAGAAATACCAATGAGATTCCAAGATTTAAGTGTATGAAAATTCTTCTAATATTAAGTTCTTCGGTGTAATTTTTTAAAGATAGTCTGCCCTCGGTCGAAACACTTTTATGTTTCGTAATTTCTAATATTTTTCATTTCATATACAAACCTTAGTATGGTCTGCCTTGATATAGATGGAATGTTCATCGATTTGTTCTAAAACCAAAGCGTTCTTGTGCAGTACAACCAGACATTCTGTGAGTTGATACATTATCCTAAGAATAGCCCATGTAGGTAAAACTTCAATCTCCTGCAGATACTCGTGTATGGTCATATATGATGCTGGTGACATGTGGCCGTTCAAATTAAATCGTAGTTCTGTTAGCTTCTGGTTTTCCAGAAATCGTTTTGCCTTACCTTGAAATACAAGTTTTAGTGTCATGTATAAATTATTTTCAATAAAACAAAACATTTATTATCATTATACTTTACTTATTATCTGTACAATAAAGAAGAACAATAGCAATACTAAATTGATTCAAATTATACTAGTCTTTACGTTTTACACATGTTTAAAAAAGGCATTTTGTAAAATTCTAATTACTTAGGTCAGTATTATTAGTCACGTTATTACACTGATTGGTAGGGAAATGTATATATTATTTAGATGAGTATATGTTTTCATAGTGCAAATTTTTTCATTACATGAGGTATAATGATTTGTTATTTCAAATGTAGTAAATACAATTAGACCACAAAAACCACTTTGTCATATATTTGAACGTAATGCTAGAATGTTTTCAAATGTTCCTATTATATTAATCTACACCCATTAAGAAAAGAGTAAATACCTAAGTGACAATTGTCCTGTGATGAAAACACTGTTTGTGAAAACAAAACCAAGTTAAAGAACATGTTGAAATCTAACAGAAATATTCTCCTTCACTTTTTTATATGAATACCTACCTTTATGAACAGTGTTCCTAACCTGCTCGTTAGCATTTGGGGTGAAACTCTGAAATTAATATTATTTTTTAAAAGTTTATTCTATGATAATCTAAGGTTGCGAAATTCTTACATTTCACAAGATCAATGCCGTCAATTTGCAAAAATTGAACTTGCAATAGCTTCAATCAAACTCTGTGTGACTTTGTTCGTTTGTTTGTGTATTTGTCGTTTGTCTTTTTGCTTTACGATTTAAGCATATTTGATCAACCTTATACTTGTTCCTGTATAACTAACTAGTAATTTTATCTTTCTCCAAAAGTGATTACTCATCTCACATAATTTCTTTATCAACGGTAAGAAATAAATACCCATTCGACTCAATATATATGATCAACAATCATTAAGAAATGTACATTGTATCTCAGCGGCTTTTGGATTACTGGATAACAAAGTCAAAGCTATGCAAAAGTGTGTTTAATACCTTTTTACCAACTATGGCAGTGAGCGTGTATAGCATAGGATTCAGAGCTGAATTAACTGGTAGTATAAATACTGCTGCCCACGCATAAACATCACCAGAAATAGCATAACCTGACAAAGCCATTATTCCTGAAAAATCATTAGATAAATTGAGAACTTTTATTTATTTATTGACTTCTTCCTTATAACATTTGTGACAATTTAAAGAGTATGGCAACAACTTATCTTTACATGATGGTAAATTGGACGTACGAGGGGTGCGCAATATATTTTGTCAAATTATAAATAAAAAGACAAATACAGTACCAGGACACTTTATTTTTGTTTATACTCTCCTTTGTGAGAAACACACAACTTCAGCCTTTTCAGCCACAATCGAAATGCATTTTCAAAGTCCTTTTTAGAGATGCGTAGAAGGCACTGATGAATAGCGGATCCTACGGCACTTCGGCTTCTATATTTCCGACCTGAAAGCTTCCTTTTAGGTCTTGGAAAGAGAAAAAAGTCGACAGAGGCAAGGTCAGGAGAATACAGGGGGTCAGGAAGGATTTTCACTATCTCCTTTGCCAAAACATCCTTCACAATCGTTGAGGTATGTGCCGGCGCGTTGTCGTGAAGTAAACAAACACCCCTGAGTCCAGTAGCTGGGCGACGTTTACGGTAGAATTTTCTCAACTTTTTCAAAACTTTTTTTTGTTTGTAGAACCTTCCTGTGACAGACCACCCCCTTGGCACTGAAACTTGAAGAACAATGCCATTGATGTCGTAGAATACTGCTACCATAATTTTCTTGATACGCAGTGTTCTTTTGGCATTGGTGGGCCTTCGAGCGTTTCTGGTGGCCCAACTTTTATTATCTATCTATCTATGTGGCTCTAAAAAGTGTACCCATGTTTCGTCACCCGTCACAACATTATTGAAACGCCGACGGTTAAATTCTGGGAGTATCTTGAACAATTTCTTAGCACATCTGATACGTTTTTGTTCATAGGTGAGTAGATGGGGTATCCATCTTGCAGTGATGCGGCTCATTCCTACTGACCCTTCTGATATCCCAACTATGTTAGCTATGTCACGACGGTGTTCTACCGTTTTCACCAGAAAAGAGCAGCCAAGTTGTTGACTGTGATTGACTCAACACCAGTTTTAAACTTAGCAATCCAGTTTCTAACAAGTCTACAGGAAACTTCACTTTCTCCATAAACTTGACAAATTTCATTGTAAATTGTTTTCGGTTCAATTCCAAGTTGATGACGCACTTTGATATAACTCCGAATTTCAGAGGAATGCAAAGATCGTTTCCCAACCATTGTTTTACATTAGTTGGTATGACCGCAATGTTTTAAATCGCATGTATTTCAACTAGAATACATTGGATTAAGATAAACCGGGTATGTATGTAAAGCTAATGCATTGAAGCGTATGATAAGTAGAATTTCGTGAGAATTTCGTGCAGAAATTTAAAACAACCCGTTACTGGACAAAACTTATTGCGCACCCCTCGTATGTTTAAATAATTATGTATAAATTTATTCTTTATTAACGCTAAATTTTAACGTCTTTAACATTTCAAAATATGTATGCCATATTCCATTTATATGTCACGTCATGGCACTAATTTTATAAAAAGAAGAACTGTTTCATCTATGTTTGTTATTATTTTAGACACATGTCATATTTTCAAGAACATGTCAGACAATCAGATAGTATTTTGTTTCATTGAGACATATACTGAAAGATGTTCGCCTTGACGGACTATTAAACTATCAAACGTTTCTGAATGAATTTATTAGACTTTGTAAAAAATCCAAAGATCTGTTTGTTGTTTTTTTATTTGACACTGTAAAGGTCATACCGCGACTGCTAGTTTAACTGGTGGAGGAACACCTCGGATGCTCCTTTGTACATGTACATTATTTCCTGGACAAGCGGTTATCTGTGTAGAACGATAGACCAACTGATTGCTAGCCTGATAGTTTCTTTACATAAAAAAATCTTAAGTACCTGAAAGGATTCGAACCAACAACTGTATGGGAAAGTGCCTTGAAGTTGACGGGAATAACAATTCGTCCAAGGAAGCCTCTCAAGAATTAATTTTGTTAAGAGTACAACTGGAAATGACAACTATGTATAAAACATATATATATATATATATACCCATACATCCTATTGGAAACCAGCAGAGGAAGTCCGTGGCAACCACAAGCAGTAAATTTCTTGCTACAATCAGATCTTTTTTTCGAGATTGTGATTTCCTCAGCTTACCGCTCGTTCTGCTAATTTCCGTGTATATTGACCATTGGCCGGCAGCAACTACCAGGAAAGTGGCGAAATTTAGACCGATGAAGATTAAAATTGAATAAAGCCAACCTGGAGGGCGGTCTCTCGTCAACGGTAGTGCAATGCACACTCCTGACTTATTATAAAACTTGTTTTTAAAGTAGCCGGAAAATATCAGAGGAACTAGTGAAATTGATAAAGCAAAAACCCAAACACCGAAAATTGATCCCAAAAACCCTTTTTTCGGGTATTAAAAGGGATTTTCCAAAGGGAATTTAAAAAACAAAAATTTTCGATGGTAATAAGGCAAAGGAACATTACGCTAGCCTCGGAGGACAAAGTTGACAGTACCCCAGCAAATGTGCACCATACACTATTTCTCCAATAGTCATCCATGAAAATGTATCTGAAGCAATACAAAAGACATCAATAAAACAAGAGATTTTTATAGCTATCGAGTATCTCAAATCTATTTTAAGTATTAAAATCCTTCGAATATCTTCGTGAAAGATGGTAAAATCATAATCTGAAATATTTGAATAACTGATATATATATCTTATTGCTTTTTAAATTTTGAATTTAAAAATAATTCTCCTCAGCTTTATATCAAGATTCTATTATTCGATGCGACAGTGTAAATGCCGCTTTACAAGTTTCAATTACACCATTAAGCAGACAGATACGTGACTGGGACAACACATGTTTTCTATATAACCAAAAAGGAAATAAAGTTTCTTGTTAGAAAGGACTTACTTAAATTACAAGTTTTTGATTCACGGATATCGATTATCGGATGTCGATCATGATACAATATTTGAAACAGACTTACATTTACCATGCATAGCTACCGAAGCATATTTCGTGAAAATGTCGCACCTTTGCATTGGATGAAAAAGAGGTGCTGGAAACTGGCCTATAAAATGTAACCTTTAATGATCGTAATGGTAGAATTAGTTTCCAATAGCAGGATAAGAGATAAAGATAGGGGTTTATTCGATGCATAGTTAAATACTGGTCAGACAAGATAGCAAAATGTTTGTTATAAATATAGGCTAAATGACTTGTTTACCTTTTTCTAAAAACAGCATCTGCCACGGCTATGATCATAAGGTACACCCCCATCAAGAAATCAGCTACAGCAAGGTTTGTTACAAAAATACCATATCCAAGACGTAGGCGCTCTTTGTCAAATATCAATCTGTATATCACTGACAAAATATTTCCGAGCAGTGCACATAATCCTATCAGCCAAAGCATTGTTTGTAAGGCCGATACCCTCATCAGATCTTCACATGAGGAAAACTCATCTTTCGTAGGTAGACAATTACTCTCAGATACATAGTTAGGTCTTATACAGCAGAACTTGTATCCTGGTGAATGCAAAGTCTTGAGTGAGGAAACACCGGTGAAAACCCCTTTATGAAAGTCAACGATATCATTTCCTTGGAAACGAATATGAATAACAGCAAGATTTCCAAGACCAAATTCTTCAATGATCTTAATTCTGTTGTTTCTTAAATCAAGTATGTCAAGATTTAAACCAGCAAATGTGTTGGATTTTAAGGCAAATAATTTTGTCCCAGTTATACGCAACGCACGGATAGACTTTAAATGTTGGAATGTGAAGGGCTCTAACGTGTTTATATCTTTGTTTCCATCGAGTATTAATGTTTGTAAATTTTGCAAACCAGAAAACATACCATTTTTTAGCTGTGACAAACTGTTGTGGCTTAAATCAAGAATTTTTAAATTTGAAAGTTTAGCAAAGCTATTTATCTCAATATTTTCTAAACCTGACTCTGACATGTTGAAATTGTACAGGAAAGGAAAATTTAACACATTGGATTGTAAAAGAATATCAGTTTGAATATTCCTCAGTTCTAGCGATCGAGTCAATCTTGGAAATTTTCTCAGATTAGATGCCGAAATTTTCTTTCCTTTCGAACATTTAACAATTAAACCAGTGCAGACACAAAATGCTGGACATTTGAATTCACAGAATATCTCATCATCTCCGTTAATACAATGTCTGTGTCCATCGCATACCTCATTAAGATCGATGCACATTTTACTAGAGGTACATTTGTAGGCTCCAGGACAATGATGCATTGTTGTTTCTGGAATATTGTAAAGACAACTTTTACACTATTTTGATATGATTTATCAATTTTTCAAATGCCTGATTTTCTAAAAAAGATCAATTTACAAGTTGGTATACTTGATCTAGAAAACACACCATAAATTTAACAGTGAATTTGGTATGAGAGTAATAAACAAAAATGTCAAGAATATTTTAACCCCGAGACAAACCTCGTAATATATACACATTGCAGTATGATATCCTAATAATATATGCATTTCATAAGACAATGATCATATGAATGAAATATTTTGGAAATAGACATTAATTTTAAGTGAATTGCCGCAGGAAAAAAACAATATTTATGTACAAACGCTCAGTTAATGTAGTCACAAACGCCGGTTATGACGAAACATTTTAACAATAAACCATATCTCTAATAGAATATAAACAATATGATGATCAATATGATGATCTTTAATTAAAGTGACATTATGCCCATCCAATGGTATATGGTCAGTGAACATGTAAATATCAAAATAAGTTTTCATTATGCAATAATTCCTTTTAATTTAATAATTTACTTCCCATAAACAGTAAATGATGCACGGATCCGAATTATAAAATTTCTGTAAATATCTTTTAGAATTTACCTACAACGCACGCTCAGTTTATAAAAAGAATGAGGGCATATTTTAGGCAGATTTATAATTTTATTCGGAACATTTAGCTCAACTTGACTATGAAAATATGAGCATAATGTCACTTTAAGGAATTCGATTTTCATGGCGTCATTTTGTTAACTTATGTCACATTTTACGTATATACAGCAATACATTTCTTTTCCTAATTTGTACGCTATCTTGGCATACGATGCATTTGCATGAAGCGTTAGAATCCTAATTAACAAATCTCGGCTGTTGTATTTCTAATGAGGTTATCTATACAAATTGCAAAAGAAAGTGTACTTGGTTACATGGAAATTCCGTTTATTTATTTGAACTAAAGTTGAAACTTTGCAACATTTAATGACCACACGATGGTTTACTTTGTATTGAATTTTGATAAATATGAGAATTGACGCTGCATGGATCAGCCGTTATGTCATATGGATATGAGATTGAATGATTCATTTCAACATTTGAGTACCCGAAGGGCAAAAACGCATCTTACAAAAAGCACAATTCTGCTTCTTTCATTTTCACCATTTAGCTGTTTACATTTAATGTCGGTGGTTCTACTCAGGTGCCCGTTCGTGCCTGAAATAGTTCACGAAAGGGCTTCTTAGGTCTTCCTCCACGAGTAACGCTGGAACGTCGACCTATACTGTATCGGTGTGACTTAAAACCCCAAACCAAATAAACAAACATATAATAAATTTTGACATAATTAAAATTCCCAATTTAAATGTAAAAAATCGTGTAGCTAAAAACATTTTTTGCAAAATTTTTCAACCAAATAAATTCCAAAGAAATTTTTCTTACACATAAACTAATAAAGTTTAAGTACCCTACTGTTTTTCAACTGAGTAATACAATTGATACCCAGGGTATTATTTTCCTTTTCACAACTTCGGGAAATAAACGCATAGCCCTTTTTGACAATATTTTCCCGGTTTTTTAAAATATATATTTGGACGTAGGGTATTGGGCTTTTGATGTTATTAAATGTTTCACTTTAAAATTTTATAAAAAGTCAAAACCCTGCAAAAATCGTCCCTTGTCCTGAAAAAATCAAAATTTGCAAAATGTTTTAGGAAAATTTATTTAAACGGGTTAATAAATATCAAACTACGTGATGTCTTCTTTGTAAATTGTACAAGATCCATGTATTCATTTGCTAAAGCTTTGTAGATACACGTGTAACCCCTATCAATATGTTCAGTTGGCCTTATTTCTTTTTCAGTGATTTTCAAAAACAGCGTGATTAAAAGGAATTCCTTGTAAACCCTCCTTCAAGTGTATAGCCAAGACTTCTAATAATGCCACTTGAAGAGTGAAGTTGACTCGCAAGTTCCAATATGTCAGGCCCTCTGGCGTTATTATCCTCGTGACGTAGTATTATCACCTCACGTTCTGAATCGCTACTACCTGAAATTAAAAATAAATTTTATAATATTATCAAATCAAATAGAGAAAATAAGAATCCCTAAAGAAAGCCAAACACGGCAAAACTGAAAATGTTGCAGGCTCGGTTTGATTGAGCCTGTTCATGGACGGTACTGTCAAGTGCAAATTACCTTCCACGCCCCCTAGCACCGACTTAAGCAGGAAACAAACTACATGTACAAGAATAAAGATCAACAAGGTAAAGGCAACGCTCACAGGACGGAGCCACCGACACACCCAAGAAGGGCACCCAGAAAACACCCAACATTTCAAGAATTCAACATTTAACATGAACTGGTACAATTTTGAATTTTGAAACATCCGCATATGTGTTCATATGGCGGTTATAATGGAACCTTCAATGTGACACGTAAGTGCCATTCCATGAAAAGCGGCATATGGTCCCCGAGTAAAAAAAAAGCGTGTGCCCTAAACGAGAAAACAATGGCCATTCAAGTGTGTGTTTTTTTTTTCAATTGCATAGAACGAAAAGACCAAAAGTAAAGAGACAAGCTGTCAAAAAACTGCTATTTTGAGCTACAACACATTTATTAAGATCATCTGTAGATAAATCAAGTCGAAGTTAAAGGTCAAATGGCGACTTTTCTTTTTAACTACTGGAGGAACACCTGATTAAAGCCATCGATCTTTCGCTAGGTGACCTGGTACCTTTTTACATGAGAAGACCGGGAGTCGAACCCAAAGAGGGGAACGGTAAATAATTTTAAGTTACCTAAACCCGACGGCCACGGAGGCTCCTCTCTACGGTGTAGAGAATTATAAAAGAACCAGAATAAAACAGTGTATATTTCAATGTTTAATTAATTGATTCGTTGTGATAAGATTATTATTTACTTATATATATTTAGAGAGTACTGAAATGCATAATGTACATAATGTACTTTAATAATATTTTACTGACCGCATTCATATTCGTCCTCAGCATTTGGACAATGTTCCATGCCATCACAGACAAATCTCAATGGTATACAGTAACTTCTTGGGCATTTTAACAGTACCGGCTGGACAGGAATGAAATTCTGGAAGATGGAAAATAGTTATCTTTGTTAACTATGCAATAGTCAAGGTATGTTTCTTGTGTCTTGTAACCGTAAAATAGAAAATGTATGTTTTTTGTTTTAGTTTTTGACAACTCTTGAATTTATTTGATTTAACCATTAAACGCATTTTAGTACATTCAAATAAAAATCTTCCATTTGCTGCCAGTATAAAAACGGGCTTAACTGTTTGTAATAAGTTATCGGTTTCATAGCTTTATCATCAAAGTCTACGATTACGTACATACGCATGCATATTCGCATCAAATATTCTTAAAATTCGTATCATCTTATCTTTAGTTGATTGTTCTTGGCAGCATATTTTCACGGTTAAAAATGATAAGTTACCACAGTTCTGAAGATGTGATCCAGTTCTACATCCTATTATAGTACCAGATCTGTCCGTATCATACACACACATCAGCGATAAATCAAACACCTTATGTGGCTTGCCACATCCGAAAGTAGTCACTTCTGGTGAGTACTCTGGTTATATTATGAAAGTTACTACACGTATTATATATAAATAGATTTCAATTAAATTTCTCATTTTAGGATTGATCAAACAATAAAAAAGAAAACTTTAATCTGTCTAAACAAACAGAAAGCAAACGGACACATTTTTAAAAAAAAGGTTTGCCTCCAACTACACTCAATGTCAACACTGCAATCCCTCACTGAAAATAATGACTATCAGAAAGTATGCTCTAAATTATGCATCTAATATCTTAATTCTAAATTTTAGACAAATTTTGTTTTTCAGTACATCCGACCTTTAAAATGGATTTGCCTGCAATATGCACATTTTCCATACGTATTGACATATCGATAAAACCAGTTTGATTGTATCATTTACATGTTCTTATAAATAATGTATTGATCAATTGTTGATAGAGTAATTACCTGAACATTTGTATGATGAATAATTTTATTTTCTTCTGGAACAATTTATATTATGATATATATAGATATATATAGATATGAAGTATCAAATGTATTTACTTACCAAAATATCATATCGTTGTTTGTTGTCATGCTTGATACAAAACACTATCAACAAAATTATTAAAGGCATTACAGACATTCCGTTATAGATCAAATCAATTTATTAACCCCTAAAAAGGGGTACGTAAGCACGACCTACATGTATCTGATTATATATTTTGACAAATATTGTCCATCTAAAATATAACTTATATGATAAATGCTGGCTGATGAAACGTTTTAAAAGCGAACCTTCGACGCAAATAGCACTGTCCGCTTGAAGGATCATATTCTTTGCTATATCTGGATTTTTCCATATTAGTTGTCCTCCTACTGACCCTATTGTGTAGTTAAACAAAACCATATCTAATTTGTCTTCGTTTAAAAGCTCTCCAGTGTCACAGTAACGAGCAGCCCTTAAAAAGGTAGTTTTTTTGTTTGAGAGACAAAAACAAAATGTACGTCATGTACGCGTCCATGATGTCTTAAAAATGCAATCCGATGTTTAAAGGAATACTGCGTTTTTAAGGAGCGTGTGAAAAATGAACTAATGTAGATAATTTAAAACAGGTGACGTCTTTCGCCATTGGTTGGTCCAGGTGCGCAAAATAGGTTAACCTCACAATTATTCACCATTCATGAGGATTAATGTTTTCAAATTGCAATTATTTATTAAAATATTCAAGTACAAACAAATTTAAAACATTTTCTGTTGTCATATAGGGAAAACTATTTTACTGTCTTATTATGATGAAGTTAAATTTATATCTGTTTACGCAGTCAAATGAATTACTTTCTTAGTTACATACATTAGAACACATAATACCAAATTGTACATACGCAATGTTATATTCTAGGAATTGGACTTCAAAATGGGTAATGTTCAGGCATCGGCAGTTTTTGTAGAATATGTTCAAATTTGGATCGTCTACAGACGCTGCAGCACTTAGCCCATGGTACACATGTTCTGTATAACCTATAATATTTGTTAACAATTTTTTTTCTGTAATTTGTGTATAATATTTCTATTATATGGCAACTAAGACAGACATACAGTATTGTGAACAGAGATTGAATTTACAATTACTGACTATTGTACTATTGTACCACGAGTATAATCCTCGTGTGAAAATAACTTTGTCTATATTCACGAGCTCGCTAAATTTAATATGATTTTGTCATAAGGAAATATTTCCTTCTAGATATGTTAGTGTCCAGCTTTATTTGTCATCCAATGAAAACGCTGTATTTCTTAAAAATTATGTGTGTTAATTTTCAGAGAAGAAAAAAGTCGATTCTATATTGAAATCCGTTCATAGTCGCCTTCTATTTTTCATAGTGCTTCATCAAAGGCCAAATAAAGCTTGACACTAAATATGTTAGTGTTCATCCTTAGCTGTTCTACAGAAATAAGAAACATTCTCCTGTCGCTATCGCTCCCGTCGAAGTTTCTAATTTCTGTAGAACAGCACGGATGAACACTAACATATACTTAGTATTCATGTAAGTAGTGGATTTCATCTCCGATACAGTTACTTCATGAAGTGCACAATTTCTAATTGAAGTCCACTACATCAGCTTTAGCAATCTTTTATTGTTCTCATTCTGCCTTTGTTTTTATATTGATATTTACACAGTTTATACCCTATCTTGGCATTCGATCTTTACCGACCGACTGTCATTGATTCAGTAATTGTTCTGCAGATTTCCAACTCAAAGTTATTGTGTTTTTGTTTGTTTTTTGTTTGGTTTTGTGAGACAATACAATGCATGTATATAAATTATTATTCTTACAACATTTAAGATGTCATGTTTGTACTTGCAGTATGTATTATTAGACATACCTGGTAAGAGCAATTTCGTTTGACGCCACTACTTAACCCTAGTTCATCAACGTCATAAAAAAGGTTCTAGTTCAAAAACGTCAACTAGTGCATGTGTTGTGTAGAATATAGTTCCTGCGTTCCTACAATATCTCAACAAGTTTTGTTTGAAAGCGCGTAAATCTATTTATTATCAATTAAGGTTCACAAAACAACTAAAACTTAAGAATTGTGTTCAAACTTACATGTGTTTCACCTGATATGTTGTTTATTTGTATGAAACGTTCTACTCCTAAATCTATATAGAGGCCTAGAGAATTCAATTTACTTTAATAAAGTTATCGCTTAGACAATCAAATTGACAATTTTACACATCCAAAATACGTTTTATTTTTAATTATTTATGAATGATATGAAATACTGAAATAAGTGACATGGATCACACACAAGAAAATGAAAAAGTGATTCTGTAAGATATTGTACGGGTATTATTTCATTGATATATTTATTGGTAATTCAAACAATTAAAACAGAACTAGTACAAAAAGCCATTAAACTATGAATAACGCATTACGTTATCTTCATTTCGAAAAGCAAAATAACGCTTTGTCATGCTTTCTACGTGCAAGTGTGATGTCATGTGACAGAAATGTTTTGAAAATATAACTACCGGCGCCGTGAGTGTGCCAAGATTTACGTATATTTAAAACGTACATTAACAGCACGTGGTTTCTACATTTATCTCTTAATGCATCTTTTCTTTTCCGTTAATGTAAAAATACATTATATCCCTGATTTGTTTGTAATGCAGAATTGCTAAGATTAATGTTGTTTTGCTGTGCAGAGAAATAATGGACGATTTATCGAGATAATATTTTGAAAACTGGAGTTTTGATGGTTGAAAACTATAATAGATAATGTTATTTCATGCTTAAATAGTATTAAAATATTCCTGAAATCGTGATAACTAATTATCTTTACAACTTATTTTTATTATAATCATTCTTAGATGTAACACTCATATAAGACATTGTTGAAAAGATTCACATAAAAGTTTGCAAAACCATAATAGGTGTGAAATCGCAACTCCAAATTGCGCTGTTTTAGGTGAATGGAGATTCCCCTATCAGTTATTTGCCAAGAACAATCTCAAAAATATTACACTGAATTAAAATCAAATTCAGATTCATTAATGTATAAGTTATTTACTACTGAGTGCAATAGTATTAATGATCCAGATTGGGCTCTCTCTGTAAAAAGAACTATAGTATAATCTTAACTATTTTCCTACATTGTCACCCGTCACGAAGATTGAAAGATCAATTTATCCAACATTAGCATACTTCAATCAATACTTTGCCGAAATTATCTTATTGTGTTCAATTTAAAACTGTATTTGAATCAGAGGAATATCTTAATAAAATAAAAGTGATGCATCCTTTAGGTAAAGCAGTCATAATCTAGTTGTAGAAACTGGCTGTTATCGATGTATAGATAGACAGGATAGATAGTGTGAACATTGTACAATGCATGTTGTTGAAAGTGAATACCATTTTCTTTTAATCTGTACACATTATTCACATATTCGTAAGAAATATTTTTCAAACACAGCACGGCCATCTTCACCTAAATTTATAGTTTAATGGCAAGTTAAAAAACAATCAACTTCACTGAATATATCGAAATTTTTAAATGAAGATTTTTTGAAAAGAAATGAAATTAATATGAGCCGTGTCACGACAAAATCAACATAATGGGTTTGCGACCAGTATGGATCCAGACCAGCCTGCGCATCCGCGCAGTCTGATCAGAATCCATGCTGTTCGCTATCAGTTTCTCTACTTGTTATAGGGTTTGTAAGCGAACAGCATGGATCCTGATCAGACTGCGCGGATGCGCAGGCTGGTCTGGATCCATGCTGGTCGCAAACGCACTATGTTGGTTTTGTCGTGACACGGCTCATATGTAAGTTAATGCATGACATTTTCTTTGCTGTTCCTGTACATCAGCTATGCAATGGTACCAATTATATGTCATTTGGTGCATGTGTGGTTTGTATATATTGTAGTTTGTCAACCTTTGTCAAAGGCATTTTGTATGCTGGTTATTGCAAATAAAATATTGAATTGAATTGTTATGCCCTCAACGAGTTGCTTCGACGAGTAAACTCAGTGTATGTTCAATAGATTAGAAAAGTAAATAATTTGACATTCATTTGTTCTTAAAGAACAAATTCACCTTTAATGAAAATGTGGACAAATTAAATAAGTAAAACAACAGGAAATCATTACCTACCATTCAATAAGGTCCGTATATAAGATCGTACGTATGATATTATCGGTGTTCAAGGATGAAAAGTCACAAAATATTGTTATCTTGTTGGTATAGAGTGCGGCCTGGAACTGTCAACATAATTTAAAGAGCTTATTTACAAACAACAAATAAAGGAGCAAGAAAAATACTTTAAAATATGGTGCTTGCTCCTAAAAAAATCATATTTAAACGTTCCTTGTTTTTTTTTTTGTGTTAGGGTCTTTAGATCATGATCCTCGCAGACAATTTAATTAAAATCATAAAGTGGAGAAATACGAGAATTTTAAAACGCTTCGGTTCTATATTACTTAATGACTATACGTGGAAGTGACCATTTGGTGTTTATTCTGAAAAACTTGAGTATTAAAAAATTATAGTATTAAGTCTGAGTACACATGAATTTTATAAAACTGTATTTAAACTTAGAAAACCTAAGTATATTACGATATTGAAACTTAGTCTCAGTAAAACTTGGTAATATAATTTTTGTACTTTTGTCTGAGTAATCGAAATTTTTTTTAAAATACATTAAAAACTGAAAAACCTTTAGAATTCAAAAATTTTTTAGAATGGGAAAACACCTGAGTATTAAAGATATTGTCGGCATCGGACTGGCTGGCATTCATTGGTTTATCTTGTTGGTTTGAAGTCGAACCGATAATATAATTGACATTACGCCAGAGTAGGGATCGCTCCGCCCACTGATTCACGTGACCCGGTCAGTAAGAACCTTAGACAAAATACGCTACCGATGTATTCGCAAAACTGTAATGGCACTAATTTTACCAATGAATTAATCTTATATGAATTTTGCATATATAAAATTTTGATGCTTTTAATGGTTTTATTGAATAGTTCATCTATTATTCCATGTATAAACGTATTATGGTATTTTACAAAAAGTAAAATAAAGTATCTGCATTCACTTATTAATTACGCATGAAGCGTTTTACAAAGATCGTCTTATTTCTCGTTTACTTTAATGAAAATTTAAAACTGACATGTACGAGTATCATACTGTCAGAGGGACTATATGTAGAAAAGTATATGATTATGTTTCATTTCATTTTGAAACTGAAGTAGCGAAACAAAAACAGTAGAATTATATTAGTGACACAAATAAAATTTAAAATCATTTTTCGGGTTTTATGTGCGAAATTCAGTTTAGATAATAAATTAATTTGTTCATGAATTGTTAAAATTGATTCAGAATATTGCATGCCCTTGTTATCTTTTTATGGTATGTGATTATGTATTGATAGAATAGAGCTCTACATTTGATATGATTCACGACAAAGCACAACGTTATTCTCTTTAAAATTTAGCTTCACGTACATAAGACATGATGCTATTGGTATTAGTTTCGTATTAAGCAGGTCAATTTAAATGTTTAATATTAATTTATTGAACTTTAATAGAAATATTCAGGTAAAATAATTTCATCCAATTTTTTACTGTATTAACTCATTATATTTGCATTTTACGGCTACGTTTTTATTGACACTACACGTTATAACAAAAAATGTCATATCTTCTGGATATTCTGGGACCTTATACTGTGATTATGAATAGATAGAATGGAAATAAAAAAGTGGATTTGTTTAAACCCTTTCCTTTTTCAATGCATTGTGTTATAGCCAGGATAAATGTTTCGTACTAATTATTTCCATATGTAGGAAATTATTGACATTTTGTATGATAAACTAACTTACTCGATCTGTCAATATGTCAGTATACTTAATAATTATACAGATAAAAAACTTTAAATTGACAGAAACTTTAAATAATTTCAATCTAAAATACTTCTATACCATTGTCTTAGACAAATAGCTTGTCTAAGGAAAATGGTGGACTTCGCAGGCATCTCAGCGTGGAACTGATAACGATCGCTGATTGGCTAATCTCTGTGACCCCTGACAGTTTGATTGACAGGCGGCGTAATGTCAATTGTTTAACAGAATAAATAGTCAAACAGATAACATTGCATTATTTTTAAAACTCTAACAACTGTTCCATTATATTATTGCCATTTTACAGTTTTACGTCCTCCTCTAATAATAAAACATAATGACTTCCTATTTGGGGCTTAGTAATTTTATAATACTGTGTACGTTTTTTTCACTTTTATTATCATTTTGTGTAATTACAAACCTTGGTACTCTTTTGAGTCTCTATATCCGGCTTCCCATAAATCCCTGCATGTTTTAAAATTGTTTGTGTTACAAGATGTCTCGTCAGCTTTATCTTCACAATCTGGGTAACCATCACAGACAAGTCGTCCTGGTATACATCTTATAAAGTCACAGTTAAACACGTCTGATGAACTGCAGGTTTCTGTCGATTTAAATGATCATTATACTATTTACTGAATTTATGTCAAGTCGTAAAAATTCATTATAAAAGTAGATCTAAATGCTTTTACGATGGTAGACACAATTGTTGAATAATATATATAACTAAGATATTCGGTCAATGAGTACAAATTTTTTTGCTTTATTTAAGAAATAATATATCCCAAACTGTGATTTTATCGCTCAATAACATCACTGTTTGGAGTTCGGATGCGAGGAATTATATCACGAGGGCGTAGCCCGAGTGATATAATGGTGCGCATCCGAACGACAAACAGTGATGTTATCCAGCGATAAAATCACCGATTTGGATATATTATTTCGATTCTAACACGACTTAAACAAATAAATGCTGCCGTTCCTGCTATTAAGCAAAATTACGCCTGATTTGTTTCCGTACTTATTGTCAGCGCGTCGGATTTTATAGTGGTTACGTCACATGTATAATGATTACGTCATATGTCTAAATATAGAACGTCAAACAGTGACTCTATTGCATAATAACACACACTTTCGGTTCTTCTATGTTCAATAGGGAAAAATGAGGGTCGTGTTAGAATGTTTTATTAGTAGTAGTAATATTGTTTTACTTCGCACTAACACAACAGATGCCATATGTCGAGTTTACAGCTTCACTGGTTTAGGAAGACTTCAGGTCCTTCTTGACTAAATTAAGACTTCATTTGAAATAATTAACTAATTATCGTGTATCAGTTTATAATAGCAGATTACATTTTAGCACTAAGTATGTCTTTTTAGTAGGATGATTTAAAACAACAAATGTTCGAACGAATAATAAAAAAATACTATGGTAATATTAAATTTAAAGCATAAGGGCACCACATATTAAAACTCATGAACCACGTACAATGGTACAAAAATATCTGTCCGTAAAAAAGTAATTATTTGAATTGTTCCTCTTTTAACTAAAATCAAATACTGAAAAGACATACGACAATTTTCCTCATCAGAACCGTCCAAACAATCTTCGAAAGTATCACATCTTTGATCAGATTGAATACATTGACCACTTGTACATCTATATTCATTTTCATCACACTCTTGAAAATCTAGATATGAATAAATAAGTGAATGATAAAGATGACAACATTGATAAGACATAGAGGATATTCAAGTTTTTTCTATAAATACATGATTTATTTTCATCGAGTGGTATGAAAATAAATATTTCATGAGTGGCGGTAGCCACGAGTGAAATATGGTAATTTTCATGCCACAAGACGAAAATAAATCATGTATTTATAGAAAAAACTTGAATTTTCTGTTTATTATATACATTTTACTCTTTTTTGCGATAAAAGTTGAAAGACTTTTCCTTAAATTTTGTGTACTGGCAGAATTTAAAAGAAAGTAGTCCGGCAAGACACCAGTGAAAATACGGAAAATATGTTTCACTGCAGTGAAAAATAAATTTTTACAGTGAAAATACGGAAAATGAAAATACGCATTTTATTTCATCAATATTTCTCAATATTTCATTTATAAGTATATAATAAATAGCGTTATTGATATTAATTCATAACCCTATTTCTCATTATAAGAAAAAGAAAAATGGGTCCCGTCATGACAAAACCAACATAGTGCGTTTGCGACCAGCATGGATCCAGACCAGCCTGAGCATCCGCGCAGTCTGATCAGGATCCATGCTGTTCGCTTACAAACCCTATAACAAGTAGAGAAACTGATAGCGAACAGCATGGATCCTGATCAGACTGCGCGGACGCGCAGGCTGGTCTGGATCCATGCTGGTCGCAAACCCATTATGTTGGTTTTGTCATGACGCGGCTCAAATCTATATACGTTATTTTATGCTTTATTGTTAAAAATGACACAATTTCAGTGATGTGCATGGTTTTCATTTTACACTTTTGGGACGTACTATGGTTATATGTCAAATATCAACCCGAAGTTAATATAAAGCAAATATTTTGTACAAGCTAACTATTTTTAAATCTAATTAGCTTAACATATTAATAAACTGTTATAATTGTAGGAGTATCAGGGCCAAACCATTTGCTAAATATGTGGGTTTGTTTCTAAATATACTTAATTGAAAACAAATTATGTTTAAATGTTGATTTATTCAACCGGTACCCGTTCGGTGAAGGAAGCTTGCATTTACCATTGCCGTCTATGATACGGCTCAATCAAATCATGACAAAACCAACATAATGGGTTTGCGACCAGCATGGATCCAGACCAGCCTGCGCATCCGCGCAGTCTGATCAGGATCCATGCTGTTCGCTTTCAAACCCTATAACAAGTAGAGAAACTGATAGCGAAACGCATGGATCCTGATCAGACTGCGCGGATGCGCAGGCTGGTCTGGATCCATGCTGGTCGCAAACCCATTATGTTGGTTTTGTCATGACGCGGCTCATTTTTCCTACAGAAATTGAAGTATAGAGATAATCACCACAGTGTTCGTCCGAGTTGTCTGCACAATCCTGGATAAAATTACATACAAGGCTAACATGAATACAAACTCCATTGCCACAAGTGAACTGATCCTGTGAGCATCCATCTATAATTACAAGTACAATCATAAATTTAAGTTACATTAGAGCGTGATTGTAAAGTATTTGTAATAGGAACTTACTAATTAATGTTCCATTTGAAACTTCTGTAAAAACCTTTCAGGTATGTACTTGATGATTGATAAACGGGGTACTAGTATTCAGAAATTCACTCAAATCGAAATTACTCTGATTACGTTCCATGGCTGTAGAAATTTGTATCTTATTAAATGACGAAAGTAGAAAAAATGGTATAAAGAATTTCCCTAAAGTGCGTTAAATGAAATGTCCCAAATTAAATAAAATAATAAACGTGAGGCGTTTAAACGAAGTGAATAAGTATTTAAGATTATAACTTTTATGCATGAAAAAACCTAAATTATTTGGAAAAGCTTGTTTCTTCCTATATAAAGATAGGGTGTCATTAAATTATTAGATATCAATTGAACTGCAGTCAAAGGTATTAAAATCGAATAATATAATTAATTAACAACACCTTTTGCTAAGGCTTTCTTAGGACAGTTTCTTTCATCGGAAGCGTCTTCACAATCCACAATACCATTACAAAGTTCCAGATATAAAATCCATTCCTTACTTCCACATTTAAATAACAAACCGGAGTCAATTTCGGGTGATCGAATGATGCTCTCGAAAATTTTATTTTTTAAAAGTTGATGAGCTGAAAAAAACATGTTTAAAATACGCATTATGTTTTTGAGTTTGTTTTTGTTTAGTTTTTTTTTTTAAGTTAGACTATGAGTCGCCAAATCGGAGATTCATCATTTGTCAAATAAAATACATACACGTACCCTTTGTATAGTAATATATTGGATGTGCCTTCAATCGGTAAATTATTTGTTACTGTTAGAATAGAAAATGAAAAAAAAGCTTAAATCAATGTTTCGTTGCCTAATCAAAAATGACATGTCTAAGAAATTAACAGAAACTCTACTTTCTTACCTCTTTGTGGACAGTCAATTTCATCCGATGTGTCTTCACAGTCAACAACGCCATTGCATCTTTTATATTCTTCTATAGTGTTACCACTATGACATTTGAACTTTTGCGCTTCGTCAATACTGGTTGTAGTTCTTTTTAATGGTCCTGAATCTACAAAACAAATCCGACTGGTTAAAAATAACCATATAAGAAACAAACAGTAACATGGAGTATATTCATAAGTCTAGGATAATTTTAAGTATGCGTTAGAAAAATTAAGATATTAAAATTTTCTGAACAACTAGTTTGAAATAACTGGTGATTTTCCAATGCTATAAAATTCCTTTCAAAATTCTCATAAGGCATTGTAACTCACAAACGCTATTTATTGAGGCAGTACATGAATGATAATGCTCTCTAGCGCCCTCTAGCACCTGTAGACCGTTTGAACCATTTTTATAGACGAGGCAGAATAATTTTTAAACAACACTAAGATAACATATTTGGCAACTTTACGACTACTACAAGTACTTTACATTTGCTGCGTTAACAAAAAATAAAATAAAAATATTTATATTGTTTAAGTTCATATAGGCATTACTTACATAACATACTTTACACAGCTGTTCTAAAGACAAAATAACTTAAGATTTTATCATAATGGCTTTCCGTTTTATAGACTAGTTCATGTCTTATCAATAAACCGCGTGACTCACCGTAAACTTCAGAACGTTCACGTTTAATTGAAAAAGTACGTTTTATATTATCAATTATTGGTCAATGACCATTATGATAGTTAATCTCTTTCAATATAAAATCAATTCAGCTCCATTCGACAACAAAAATATGAGCAGTATGTTACTTTTTGATAAAAAAAAATAATACATTTTTTGAAACAGCTAAACAAATTATGCTGTAAAACGTAGTTTTACTGAAACAATCAATCAAAGTAAGAATCACTCACAGTTAACGTCACATATTTCCCAATCTGTACCCGGAAATGACGTATAGCACCAATTAAATCCCAAAGAGGTATAATCCCGGCAATAATTTGAAGCATATATTGAATCAGTGTCTGGCAGATCAGTACTATGTATATGCATGCTCCACTTCACGCACGGTTTTCCCAAAACAGTTGTGTTTTGATTTCCGGTGTATGGCCGAAGTACTGCAGAACACCGATCGGCTAATACATTTTCTGTAATTCGTATTTTATTTATTTATTTATTTATATTTTTATTTATTTATTTATATTTGTCTTCCTGTATTTCATAACTACATGTATGTTAATAAGCAGTATAAAATACTCATCAATACGCTAATAAAGTAATTTTAGTCATCTTTGATTTACCATTAATTGCACTAGGAGTACGAAAGGTACAACATACATGTATATCAATACTGATTATAGCTTGTTTTTAAAGTAACCAGTAAATATGAGAGAAACTAGTGAAATTAATGAAACAACAATCCACGCAGCGAATGATCATAAACTAAATATATTAATAATTGCACGATTTAAATTTTTTTTGTCCTCCTGTTTTTATGTTGACAAATAGTGATTGCCAATGGGGAATCTGAAATTATCAATTTTTCATAATTGATATGCAACATGATTATTAAATTTATTGACTTTACTAAAAAAAATAGTTCCATGTACATGAAATTGAGAAAACATATCAGCTGTGAAACCCGGCAAAAAACTTCTGTCCGAAAGTAGTTCGGTCTCTTCAATATTCACTGTTACAGTATACATGTATAATTACTGATGACATTACCTTTTACGCGGCATAGTTGACCTTTTTCTTTTTCATTACTGCTGACGGAACATATGATAAAGTCATTCGTTTGCACATCTTCAACAGCTATTTCATCACAGTCATTGGAACTTTGAACTAATGTACCATTGTCAAATGTCATCCGTTCGGTGCATTTTGGTGCCTGTCCGGTATTACTTAACGGTTCTATACTTTGAAGTGGTATTACTTGTTCTAGAAACTCTGAAACAAAATAAAATGCCAAGTGAATATTGGTTGTCTTTTGAGCGCTCTGAACACAACTAGTATATATACACACAACTAGGTTGTTTGAAATCAATTTTCATTTCATCTATTTTTCTATTATCAACTATTCTACTTTAAAGGTATATTCTGCTCTAACCTGCTGATGGGCGAGACCGAATACTAACAATTACTCACTTTATGAAATCAAAATATTCAAGCCTTCGCTTTAAACAGACGTTCTGTATGTAGACCAGTTTTTATGTATATGTATACAAATGTTGATGAATTATTTTTCGAAATTTAAAAAAGGATGTTCTACCGCCAAGACTTATTTTACGAAATTTAAAAATGGACGTTCTATCGCCAAGACTTATTTTTCGAAATTTAAAAAAGGACGTTCTACCGCCAAGACTTATTTTTCGAAATTTAAAAAAGGACGTTCTACCGCCAAGACTTTATTTGAAACGATTTTTGTGCCTTATAGATTTTTCAATTTGTCTGCAAAATTTTAATTAAAGTTTTAAAGGGGTATAAGTTACATTTGTTTATTTTTTGCAAATTGTTTGTGATAAGAATAAGATCAAAACAATTTCATTTATGAATACCAGGTTTTACATTTTATATTATATATATCTGTTCCGCACTTAAAAATATATCATCCTTAAATTTGACACTTGAAAAAAAACTAATAATTACTATACAGGCTGTATAAAATGTAAATATTTTTTTGAACACACACAGAGAAAATATGTGTAAAAAAACTGGCAGTTCTTATAAAAGTAGAACACAATCATTTACTTTATAAGTACTAGCAAATGCAGCTTCCAAGCATAGTTTATGCATTCACTTAGACATATTCAAGAAGAATTTAATAGATTTCAATAAATTTCTTATAAAAAGAGGTGAGCATAGTATATCTTTAAAGCATTTGATGTTCAACGGGTGAAAAGTGAAGAAAAGATCTCGTCCTTAAATCAAATCAAACAAATATTGCTCACATAAATGAATTACCATTAGCATAACAGTAATCTATCAGTACATTTGGATTAGTTGTGAAACAAAATAATCTATCAGTTCCACCAGGAGCTCGGCAATAATTTGCTGCATCTTTTACAGAAGTGTCGGGAAACAAATCGTCTGTAGATAAAACATGTTGGTGAGGGTATTGGGAATCCCATCTTTGGCAGACATGGCCATTTAATGTTGTGTTCAACGTAACTCTGTACTCGCCGGGGTATACTTTATCATGTATATCTATAATTAAAGCAGGAGATGAAGAAGATTGATTGCACTATTTTATCATCATACAAGCGATCACTATTTTATCATCAAATGCGTTTTATATTGTTCATCACACAAGCGTTCACTATTTTGTTATCATACAAACGTTCACTATTTTATCATCATAAGCGTTCACGTTTTGTAACCATACAAATAGTTTATTATTTGGTCATAATGCAAGCACTCACTACTTAATAAGTATACAATGCCCCTACCTATGGAAGAGTTTCCAATCTCCCGTTCACATACAAAATAGAACGCTGTAAACGTTGAACAATCAGTTGCCTCCCATGTGTTTTCTTCGTTAGCAAAATTAAAACTCATTCGTGTACATGCACCTGACAACGGCTCTCCATTAATCCTGGTGTACAAATAAAAATTGTTTTTAATTTAAAGTTGTTAATTAGCTATTTCAAATCTAAGAAAATAACAAGATTTTTTTAACAATGATTGTGAAATGAATTACCACAAGTCTAAAAATTAAAATAAGTCTTAAAATTCTAATATAGTACATGTATAACTATTCCACTTAAAACGGAAAAATATACAAAGGCCAATAAAGAAACATGCTAAGAACTATATCGAAAACTAATGTTACGCTTAAATGCACTCCATGCCATCTTGCATAGTTAAATGATTATTCTGTAATAAAAGATTGAGCGAATTGTCTAATTTGTTCCATATCTACTTCAAAGGGTACACAAATCTCTAAAAGAATTATCATATAGAACCCTATACATGTAAATATTTATACTTTGTTTAGATTTTATTTGGTTTTCTAAAGGAAATATTTTTCTGATGCAAATAGACTAAATATATATTTTTTTAAACTAGAAATGTGTCCAATTGGCACGGTTCCCCACATTTCACTATTTTGTCTACAGACAAGCAGCGTGGCAGTATGACAATATGATAAGATAAGGAACGGACGGACGGACAAAAGCAAATGTATATGCCCTTCCAAAATGAATGTACTTTGTTATAAGTGTACACTTATTCTTAAATCGCAAATGACTGACGACAGATTGCAAACAAGCAAGAAGATATAAAGAAATATTGTGTGAATAATACACTTACCAAGCTGAATAAGTTACAGGAGTTTTGTTTTCCCAAATTTCGTATACTTTTCCTTTACCGTCTAAACCCCTTCGGTTGCCTAAATATATAAAGAGCAATGATCCCTAAATAATGTGAATTTTGTGTTTACTTATTGAAGAGCAATAATAAAGAATAAATTAAAAATCTTTAATGTAGAAGTAAATATTTTGAAAGAAGTATGTGTTTTCTTCATTTCTGATATTACAATATGTCTTTTTGTGGCAGTTTGGTCGTTTTGATCGGATTTGAAGACTGTCCGGCACAAGTACCATTCTGTGCAGTATTTGCAGGCACGAGCCGTCTACTATGTAGAACCACATACGTTTCGTATGCTGGTTGGATAGCATCATCATCTACGAATCAAACATCCTTTCCGAGATTCGAGCCCAAAGGGGCAAGTGATCGAGAGGTTTAAAATAAAAAAAAATCTTAACCAGTCGGCCACTAAATCTTTCCTATCGATGCAGAATTTTAGTTATGACATTATAAGCACCATATGCTAAGTTGCTCTTTTTTTAAAAGAAATCAATCAAACATTATGCATGTACAGTTAACATCCTTTTAGACAGGTGTAAGCTTACAGAATTCTTTTATAAAAGTAAAGGAATCTGAAAAAATAAAGAAAACGTATATGAAATTTTAAACAAATTTTAGTATCTTTACCGATATATGCGTAATAAAACTCTGTCTTTAAATGAATAAAGGCAGTCTGAAAGATTTCAGGGTCTCGTTCTATCTTTTTGAATGTCCGTAGTAAATATTGAACAAGTTTCAATTCGCTGTGTGAACGGAACGAGACTAGTCTCTGTCGTCTGCCCCAACATTCATTTCCGGCAGCGTCTGCTGTACCGTCTGCATTAGCGTATATCGTGTAACATTTATTAAAATGTTTAGAACATGCTGCGAATATAAATAAAACTATAGATAAAAAACTCTGGAATACCCTCTGACAGAGAAGAACATAAAATGGAGAAAATGAGAATACAGGAATGGTGATTTGCTTAACTATTCACAAATCAAAAACGGACTCTCTGAATAACAATAGTTCTAACATTTATTCTTGTAAATTGAACTTCGGATGACTTCACATTATTTTTTTTTCTACCATTTTTGCTGTTCATATATCAGCTCATCTAGTCAATTCAGACGGATTGGTTTTTTGCTTATAAGCCTCCTTAAGCATTTTTTTCTTTCCAACAGATGCTAACATCTGGAAAAGATTATCCCTATACAAGCAGTACACTTTAATAGAAAGTTTAAGTACGGACAGTGTAAGGCAGCTTAACTGGTAATAATATTTAATTCGACTAGCATATTATGGTACAAAAGAACAACACTAACCTTTATGTAGTAACCGTGGAACCTTCATTCGATTAAGTAGAGATTGAACTGCAAAAAATATTGGGATAACAAATAATATATGTAAATTTCAAAGTATACATAAGTTACCACGATAAATAAATAAATATCGCCGTTTTTAAAAATGGCGTGAATTTTACATTTTTTGAGAAATAACTTCTATATTTTATCTTCTATATTATATCGTATATATATGTAATAGCTCTAGTATTAAAGAGATTGCTATTATACATCATCGCATCGAAATCAAATACATATAACTAAAATCACCACAAAACATCATAAAGCAAACATTGTCAATGAACGCATTTGTGTGTGTGAATGCGTGCGTGCGCGCACGCGTGTCATTCATGCATGGCTACAATTGTAGTATGACCATCATTGCACAGCATTGACATTAACAAAGTCTACATTTATACTACAAAAACTCCCATTTGTACTGTTTGTCTATAGAAATACGAGAGTGGCGTTTAATTTTATGTCTGATCTAAAAATTTAAACAGTCGACTGAAAAGGTAAAACAAATCATGAAGAATCGAATATAATAGTAAGTGTGCACAATAATATTAGGGATATTTTGGCTTATTTTATAGCCGATATTCGGTAATATTCTCAATTGAAAATGGTATGTAATTCTCTAAATCTACAGGGGAAATTATCCCAATTAAAAGTTACAAAATATAAATATTGAATAACAAAGTCTAACATCTTTGTTTTAGTGTTTTGGCACTTAAAAGTTTGAAGATGCCATCCTAGACACTGATTCCTTGCATTCATTTCATCACTGCAAAATTTAAGTCATGCATTTTCCCCAACTTTTAACAAAACATCGCTGAATTTCCCAATTTCATTGGAATGGGTCATGTTCTAAAAAAGCATGGAAAAAAAACCTGCACATGAATGGTTAATGTCGGAATGGTTAACTTGGTAAAATCTTCGGGATTGTACATTATCAAATATTTTGTTACGAATTCGAGATTGACGGAATCTGTTTTCTTTTTTATCCTTTTGTTTTGCCTGTTTGTTTGTTTGTTTTACATCAGACGAAAATGAATTATTATACATAATATATAAAGTAGGTTCATAAACAATATAAGATATACCTGTAAAAATGAACAATTGCACTATGTACTAAGGCCCAGTACAAGTAGTATTAGTACAGTGCACAAGTATTTCGTGCAATCTAAACTTAATATAATGTGTGTACATACATGCATTTCGTTTCGTATATGGTAATATGTATTTTGTATATTTCATAATTTCGTGTATGATAATTTTACAGCTTGTTAGATATGATGGACATACATTTACTTTCGATAGCAAAACCAATCGTTATCATTTTAATAGCACTACAACGAAGAGTCTAAATAGAATTATGCATCGTGTAATAAAGACATGGAATTAAATGTAATGCAATAAAATGCCTTTTTATATAATAAAATAAAAAATCAGATAATTTAAATAGTATATGAAACATGTATAAAATATTTACAAGAAATAAGGCAGTTTTATAATACTTACAGGCAAAATAATTATGATTTCAATTTCGCGGAACGTTGCATGTTAACAAGAAATTAAATAGTTAATTACTCACTCTATGTCGTGAGTAAAACAATTATTCACTTATCCCATGTTATAATCTTACTAGAAAGAAACCAAAACAACAGAATAGGATTTAGGCATTGTATTTGAAAACTTTCAACAAATAAATGCAAGTAGTTTGGATCGTGTTAAAATCTCTTCAGGTATACAGTTCCATTGGATCCTGTAGATAGTATCTTGTATAGCTGAATTCGGAAAGCCATATGCATATTTGTCCAACGATAAACCTGAAAAATACTAAAACTATATTAATAATTATAAATGAAAACATAATTTTTTATAACGATACTCTGAAAACCACTAAATAGCATCCTTTCTTAGAAACTGGGAGGGCGGGAAGAGGGAATAACTATAACTCTAAAGAACGTGTTTAAAGCTGTCAAATACTGCCTCGAGTGAGAAACAATAGTAAAACACCGAATATATACCTACACACTGGTACAAAACACGTGAAAACCGTGCAATGTAAAATAATATGCATGAAACAAAATATGTTGTAGACTTATCGAAGCATAAACTAAACTACGAACTGGAATGAAATAACAATGGGAAACGTGAATAATTTTATTTACTCACTCTATGTCGTGAGTAAAACAATTATTCACTTATCCCATGTTATAATCTTACTAGAAAGAAACCAAAACAACAGAATAGGATTTAGGCATTGTATTTGAAAACTTTCAATCGAGCAAAACAAAGAAAGCATTTATATAAACATTTTAAAGAACTGTATTTATAAATTTAAAACACGATACCATATTAAATAAAAAATAAAATAAAACCTGCGCTATTAGACTTGATTCAGATTAGATTATTAGAAACCAATTTAAAACAAATAAAGTGTGAAAATTATAAATCCAAAACAATAAAAGCAAAACAAAACAATATTCTTTGAAGTTTTACTTAAAATAATAAAAATAATAATAATAATAATAATAATTATAATATAGTTGAAAATAATACTTATCTATAGAAAACTATGTTGTGTCCAGGAATGATGAACTTTTAATCTTTTAGACGAAAACAAAGCAATTGATATGCCTTTTGGTTTTTGACCCCATTTACGGATTCTGAAAATAAAACAATGAGCTTTCTCAACATCACTAAACAAATGAATGAACTATCTTAGCATCACAAAATAAATCAGTGAGCTATCTCAGCATCACAAAATAAATCAGTGAGCTATCTCAGCATCACAAAACAAATCGGTGAGCTATCTCAGCATCACAAAACAAATCGGTGAGCTATCTCAGCATCACAAAACAAATCGGTGAGCTATCTCAGCATCACAAAATAAATCGGTGAGCTATCTCAGCATCACAAAACAAATCGGTGAGCTATCTCAGCATCACAAAATAAATCAGTGAGCTATCTCAGCATCACAACAACAAAAAATAAAAAAGTCGGTGAGCTATCTCAGCATCACAAAACAAATCGGTGAGCTATCTCAGCATCACAAAACAAATCAGTGAGCTATCTCAGCATCACAAAACAAATCGGTGAGCTATCTCAGCATCACAAAATAAATCGGTGAGCTATCTCAGCATCAGAAAACAATTCGGTGAGCTATCTCACCATCACGATAAAATTGGTAAGCTATCTCAGCATTAAATCAACTTTGAAAATAAATACTTATCTGCAAATTTGTGTGCTGGAGAAGATTGCAAGCATTTTGTATTTCATCCATGACGATAAGTCGTTACCAAGAATTGAAATCAAAAGCCCTTTGTAACTTTGCAAACACAATAGATCTTCCCATTCTCATGACAAACGTCAAAACCCCATGTCAATCATCGTATGAAGCTATAAAACAAAACACAAAAAATAAACAACAACGACAAAGTATAAGTTGATCACCTGAAAAATTCTAACAAACAATTTTATATTCCACGATTTAAAACTGAAAAGTGAAGCCTTTGCAGCAAAATTAAATTATCTCAATAACTATGTACGCTCATTAACTGATGTAGAAATAAATATATTTAATATAAACAAACATAACAGAATATGTATAATAATTAACAATTGAAATAATAATATCAAATGAATAATAAAAATTTAAAAATAATACTTATCTTAAAAAAGTGTAATTATATCTGTTGTCTGTATGAAGCCTTGTCAAATCACACCAATGATTTACTCATGATAAATCTATATAACACTTACACAAAATATAAGATAATAAACTAGTATTTAATTCCACAATTAAATCAATCATTGACTGAATATAATCACAAGCATATAATCACTTCATATTATGAAAAGTTATTCAACATAAAGCTGCACGAAATCATTAAATGTTAAGATTTAGTGACACAGACAAACGTTGTTTCAAACTGTCTTTAACATATCCATCTTTAGCTGTCTCTGAACGCCAACGTCCATGTTTTTTCCACAGTCTATCATTAGTACCAGAATTAGCACAAATAGTAGCTCCACCTGACCTTAGTGAATGCAAACCGTATTGATGACTTTCTAGTCCTATTGAAGTAAGTTTTTGATTAAAAAGTTCCCGTGTTCTCGAGTAAGAAAGTGGAGCATTTTTACGTTTTAATACATACTTGTTAGACTTTTTACACAACACTACAGCTCTAAAAATAAACTGATCATAACATTCCATCAAACCAGCCTCTGTAATATATCTATGTAATAATTGCACCGGGCATGAAAACTTTCCAGTTTTTGCCAAAACTACATAATTTCCTTCTCTATATAAATCTGTTTTGGCATTTTCAATATATAATGAACAATGATCATCTTTGAAATCAATGTGACAACGTTTTAAATAAAGACCTTCTGAAATTCTTAGAAAACCAGCAAAACAAATCACAAACAATGTAACAATTCTTAAATCTGCCAATGAACACTTTTCAGAAACAAAACGTTTAATGAGTAATTTCAGCACATCAGGAGTAATAGGCTCTATTTTCTGTACAGGCCTCGAAATCTTCTTATATAGCCTTCTAAACATAATTTAAGCCATCTATCTTGACAAGGATTTTCTTTAAACTGCGCAGTTTTATGCGCCAAATTTATAGCATAGAAAATATTTGATTTAACTTAGATTTCCCGCAAGAATATGATCTGAATAAGCGAAACTAAATAAAGCGCGATTGTGGCAGGCAAAGCTGGCAAAGAAGATAACTTGCATTTATCGCAACAATTACAAATTTTTTGAAGCATACTATAATTTTTCACTGTACTATGTTCTCTGCTACCCAAAATAGTGTGTTTTACTTCTGAAACAACGGACATCGGAAGAGCAGAACTGTTGCATGTGTCTGTTAAGTCTTTCCATCTACATGAATCAAACAAGCCATATTTCGATAGTCTTACACACAAATCATTCTTGTTTGTTGCCTTCTGGTGCGAGGAGTTGGGTGGCATCAGAATTTGTTGCTGCTGCTGAAGCTGTTTTGTTGCTGGATTGCTGCACCATGAAAGCTCTTCGGTGTGAGGAACAGAAATTGGCATAATGCCCTTCTTGGCCACACTTGAAACAAATGACTTCTCCCGGAACAAAACGTCGTCCTTCCAGGTATCCAAAAGAGCAACGTCGTCCTTCCAATTCTCCCTGAACGTAACGTCGTTCTTCCACGTATACGTATCCGTGACCGAAACGACGTCCTTCTGCGGCTCTGGAAATTATGTTGGCTCGAAAAAACTAGCAAAACGATTATCATAAAAATAGGCATTTTTATCAGCCTTCTTTTTAGCGCGCTCTTCAGCACGAAGAATTCTTTTATCATCATCTGAGTCGGACGCTACTTCCAGTAACTCGTACTTATTTATGGTAGACCACCCAAGATCTGAACCGTCAGCAATACGTATCAATTTATTTCTATGAGTTATAGCATCCTTAGCTTCAGCAAGAAAGTCCTTAGCTTTAGAAGCCTCTCTGTAGGAAACTGCCTTATCAATATTGTCAAGTAAGTCTTAAACAGTGTTATTGAACTCGAACTGTTTCCTGTTCTGATAAGACTTCAATGAAATTAAAATATTCTTTTTTACCTTCTTTGTCGCTGAAGAAACAGTCCACCCAGCATCACGTTTCAAATCACGTTGAAGCGAACTAAATTTGTCATCAAAATAACCCTTCAATTCGGAGACAACTTCTTCCCTTGGAACTGTTGAAAAACTTGCACGTGGTGGCGAATTTTCCCGCGACATAATATTCTAAATAACTATAACTCTAAAGAACGTGTTTAAAGCTGTCAAATACTGCCTCGAGTGAGAAACAATAGTAAAACACCGAATATATACCTACACACTGGTACAAAACACGTGAAAACCGTGCAATGTAAAATAATATGCATGAAACAAAATATGTTGTAGACTTATCGAAGCATAAACTAAACTACGAACTGGAATGAAATAACAATGGGAAACGTGAATAATTTTATATAACCTTACCAACTACGTTATGCAGGCAGTCGGAATACTATTTCTATATTTGTGAGGTATATATCAAACTAATTGACTAGTGATTACTTCTTTCAACCCCCCCCCCCCGCCCCAGGCTTCAAATGGTGAAAAATGCACTATGTAGCTATATAGACCGCCAAACACTTGTTTTCGTGTGAAGTGACATTAAGCTTATTTCGTCGTTGTCGAGTTGAGCTTAACTGACTACATATTTAAACAGATTGAATATTATAATGGTCATTGAATAATAATTGATAAAGAAAAGTATTTAGGATAAAATACAACAACTGCCTAAAATATAAAAAGAATGTCCCATTGAATGTTTAGGATATACTTCGAAAGATATTTATAGAGTTTTCTGTGGGCCAGGTGGGTTATTGATTATGTAAATGAACTAGACTATAAAATTGAGAGCAATTAATATATAAAAATCTGAAGTTATGTTAACTTCGACATGTACACCAACCATTTACTATTGGATAGGCATAATGTCACTTTGAGAAATGGGGTTTAAAAAGTGATCACTTTTACGGCGCCACCTTCTATCAAATAGATACATCAAGGGAGTGCCAGATTAGGGGATGTGCACCCTTCAGTTTTGAGGTTTGAGGGGGTCAGTAGACCCCATCATCTCTAAGAAATTTTGGACCTGTGAAAGTCTAAAAATGGCCCCAGGTCGACCTTAAGGTAACGTGTAACCAACGTTGAAAAACATTTAACTCTATCTCAATCCATTGTGGAGGTTAAGGACTTTGATATGATTTTTGATGAAAAAAAAATCAATGCAAAAAAAAATAGATTTTCGGCAATTTTGAGATGTCCCCTCGTTACCATGGTACCAGGAAATTTAAGATTGAGTATTTCCAAAATCATTTTTCAAATTCCTTTGTGTGATTAAAAAAACTATGTCGCCGGTCGGAGCGAACGTTCACGAAACAAGAGTAAAGATTGTTATGGGAGAGTGAAATATTCACGGAACGCAGCCTCCAAAATGATATCTACCCAGTAAGGTATTGATATGGAATTGGACAAAAACGGGAAACGCAGCGGAATGTGTCGAATTCACATTAAACAAGATGAAGACATCCTAATTAACTTAAAAACATTTACACATGCACCTACCACAGATATTATCCTTACAAGAGATCGTGGTATAAAGGGGCTAGTTGAAAACGTATGAATACTAAAGATGTACAAGCACAATTATATAATACATTAATAGAAATCATAAATAATGACCATAATTGGCACGATTGGCTGTAAACTTCTGGATAGTTGATTAAATGATTTGTGGCGAATGAAAGTGAAGTAATTTTAAAATCGTTTTTTTTTTTTTTTTAGATTATTTTAACTTAATATCCTTCCTCAAATCATTCTATCCTTTGTAAAATATATCAAAATATTCAAGAGTAAGGGCTTGTACTTACTTATGTATTGATATCTACTACCATACTGTCGCACCAGCTTTTCTGAAGGAAATGAGAAAGATATTGTATATATGTTTTCTTATCTACGGAGCCCGTAAGGTGATATTTTCCACACTTTTATTCCCGGGACTTAATTAATTAGTTTTAATAAAATATTAATCCGTTATTACAAAATATTTATTCGTTATAACGAAATATTAATTCGTACAAACGAAATGTTAGTTCGTACAAACGAAATAATATTTTATAAAAACGAATTACTATAATTATGAGAGGGTTTTAAAGGGTTTTGATAATATTTAAAAACTAAGTTCCTGACTAAATAGTAGGCATGTAAACACATCATAAATAGTGTTGTTTTTTTCTCCCTAAGTCTTATACCTTAACGCGACGGTATAGCAGTACTGTATATAAATTAAAATAATCGCCTGTTGTTTGAGCTGAAAGTATAAATATGAGCCGCGTCATGACAAAACCAACATAATGCGTTTGCAACCAGCATGGATCCAGACCAGCCTGCGCATCCGCCAGTCTGATCAGGATCCATTCTGTTCCCTTACAAACCCTATAACAAGTAGTGAAAGTGATAGCGAACAGCATGGATCCTGATTAGCCTGCGCGGATGCGCAGGCTGGTCTGGATCCATGCTGGTCGCAAACCCACAATGTTGGTTTTGTCGTGACGCGGCTCATATATATGTAAAAGTGTGTTCAAATGAAGATGGGATATATCTTATCAAGTTATTTTCGGTAAAGGAAATTATTTAAATTATATATACCCGTGCTATCTTCATGAGCTTCGTTTGTTTCATATAATGCACTGTCTTGAAGATCTGTAAAACAAGTGCACAGGATATGTGTAACATTCTTTTTTCTGATTTTTCTACTCTTGTTTGTATTAAACCATTTACTAATGCAACAATATTTGTTATCAATAAGGTCCATCTTCTTTTAACGCCCTACTTCATGTTATACTTCATCTGCGTTATCATTTTAAATTTGATAGATGATATAATAACCAAGCGCCCTCTACCTTAACCGCTCCGCTACACATGGTTACATTTATGTCGATTGATCCTTTCTATACTTTTTTGCTTTTTTTTTTTTTTTTTTTTTCGTTTAGTCATTAAACATAGTGTTTTATTTTTTTGTTCTGACTTAAAATGAATAGCATGTATCACTCATGCAAAACCCGCCGGAGCCAACAGAAATTAGACTTTGCCGTGTAGTCTGACAAGACTCTATACTGCTAGTAGTGCTCAGTTATTTTCATTTGTTCCAAATTCAAAAGCTAATCTTATTCATCAGATTAATGACTAGAGTATCTTACCTGGTATACTAGTTGCTCTCACTACGATCATCTTCGGTGGCTCTTCATCCATCGCTTCGTAAACAAGACGAAACTTATTGTCATCCTCATTGAAATGGGAAGAAAAAATAATATGCACAACCCTAGTTCTCGAGAGAATGATTGCTGGGGGTTTCTGTAGATTACAATACACATTATCACTCCTGAGGTTTTCATGTATCACAAATTTGTGCTCTGAAAAAATAAGAGTTTACTTTACCAATTTATCGAGACAAGAGTGATTTAACAATTTCCATGCTGCTACATAAAATTATTCTAGCTGTAAGACAATACAATAGGACTTTATGAAAATACATCAAAGCGCTAACAGTACAGAAAATAGCGAAACATTGATTTAACAAGATGGTGAGTAATGTTGCTAGAATTATTTCACAAGGAGATAGCATTAAATTGAAACTTCGTGAGGGAAGTTGCACTTTTTCATTATCCCTCATGTACATCCCCAATCAAACCGAGTTTGCAATTTTCATTATATTCTACTGTTTTTATTGCTTCCGAGGGATCACTTTTTCCAGATATTTTGTATACCAAGTCTATATGTATTCCTGCCTTTAACACTCGTAAGAGGGGTTGGCAGTATCCAGAGATAGATAGATAGATATACAAACTGGGGAATTTCGACAGCAGTGAAATTGATTAGATTATAAATGAAAAAAAAATGTGTTCTTAATTTATTGATATATTCAAAGTATTTTAAATATATACTAAAGTCTTATTTGTTGCAAAACGCGTCATTTACATTAATGGCATTCACAATAAACAGTCTTCTGAAAAGGTTTGTTAACAAAAATCTGATGCAAAAAAAAAATGTCGAGTTTTTGAAATATTCAGCAGTGTTTTAAACGCATTAGCTTTAAAGCCAAAAATCAATTATAAAGATGACATACAACCAATCAACTACACCTTCCTTTCTTTAAACAATCTAAAACAAGATGTATTAAAGGAGTATTACCATCTCTACATTTAACATCAAAATGTAGCATTTTAATACGAAATGTTTGCTTGTTACTAGAAATATTCCATCTCTCCAGAGAGCCAATGTCATATGAAATAATGTTGTTGAATCCCAATGACGACAGCATCATCGTAGGTAAATGACAGTCCTCAGTATATTTGAATGTAGGGTCAAAATGTATGAAATCAAAGCATGTCGGTATTTCTGTATACAATGTATGAAAACAAACCATTATAAACAGTTCGGTATTTCTGTATTCAATGTATAAAGAAATCAGGGTAAACATTTTAAAGTTGTAAGGATATACGATTCTCCTTAATATCGAAGAAATACACGAATAAATGCTGTATTGTTATATTTACTTCAAGCTTTCTTTTTCTAACTCGGACATTCATTATTATGAATTCAAACTAATACAGTAATAGCCGCACGTGAACACAAAATCAATTAAGGAAAGTGTCACCTTGTTTCTGGACAATGGCTCGGAACCCCCTTCCACGGAAGTCAACATTTGTATGATATGAACAGGTTGTAAAGGTCAGAATGAAGCTGTTTACGTAGGTGTCTATGATAACTTGTTTGTTGTTGTAGAGACTATTTAAACTAAACGCAGCATCAAGCGTTCCGTCGTTTGTTCCAAAAACTGTGTCTTCCGCGTCTAGTCTTATAACATCATTACACTATAATTATAGTATGTACACAATATTAATTCAAAATTTTATCAAAGATTGAACCTGCACAACATTGAAATTATGCTTAATAATATGACATTTAGCTGCAATAGTTTGATATTTTTTAACCTCGGTTTGTAACTTCGACAAATTCAGCAAAATGTTTAATTTGGAATTGCATTTTTTTTATAGTCATGACAACTGAAAAGATTGATCACACAAAAAAATCGTCGACAATACTGCAAATCAGTCATTTTTGCATATGGCATCTTAGATATATCTTGAAATATTTTTAATCTTTCTAAACATCTTGCATTTTTTCAAATTTTATTTCCTTGAAAAAAAAAGCCAGCTGGGCTTAACTGGAGGCATGCAGCTTCTATATAACCATGTACATACAATGAACTCGTCTATTCCATGTATTCCGAACCAGTCAAAAATCAGGATCATTTCCGAGCTTTACAAGTCGCGGGCGAGCAGACGGTCATAAAAAAACGAAAGTTATTTTTTAGTTTTGTTTCAGATGCCCTATACAAACAATACGACGTTTGCAAAGCATACAGGTATTCTTACATTATATGTCATTTTTTGATTTTGTTGAAGTGTCAGAATTTTCACGGAAGCGTAAATCTGTCAAATGTAAATAAAAATATCAAAATGAAAAGGCGCTTGCTTTTAAGTTAATTTACGAAAAGAAACGAAATGGTCATTACTAACAAGGAATTTCTGTGTCCGTTCAAACTATAAGTATTACACAATAAAAAAGTTAAAAATTAAAATGCAAAAAGCCCATGTATTGATGTCATGTATTTTGTGTATTCCGAATCACTGTATTTTTTTGCAATGATACACATGTCATATGTATTGTTTCAGGATAAAACTGTTACTGTATAGAACCATCAACTCATAAATTTTGGTACTGAAATTTGACAGCACTCACCTCGGTACTATATGTCCTCGGTACCAGTTTGGCAAATCCACGTTACATTATAACGTACAAAACAATTCGCATCGATTCAAATTGCCATTTTTTTGTAAATGACTTGAATAAATTTGCTTGAACACCTGCACATCAAAAGTTTCAATGATGTGTCATTATCTTTCCCATCAAAATAATCATTCAGTAAGTCAGTAACAGCCAAAGGAAGTATTTCTATGCATAGATTTATTGTTACAAATACAATACATAGATTCTGTGCACTTTAATAGAAAAAAATCCATTTTGAATAACAAAAGATTGATATCGGCTATTGTTTTAATATTTTTCCGTTCAATTAGTCATAAGTCGCTTCGGCTTTTCCATTCGGAACTGCCTCGGCTATTAATTATAATAACCTCGGAAACAATACGGATTGAAAGTAGTTCTACCACGTGGTTTCAGATGTAAACAGAAACCGAGATAATGTAAAACGAATGTATATATTTGACATCTAATGTCTGTTCCGGTACTCTTATGCTTGAAAATATGTCTGACAACAATTTGTAATTTAAATATGCCCACTGATGTTCAATTTTAAACAAATCCGACTAAATGCCAACAGGTTGTTTTTTTGTACTTTCGGTTTCTACAGCCATAATAAGAAATATATAAATAATGTATTGTTTGCTTCTGTACCTATGAATTCACTTATTTTAGGTGGACTTTTACTACATAAATTGGAAATAAACTTGTCAACAACTCCCAGTATTAAATTACTATTTGTTTACATGTTTAGTTTCTTAGCGTAGGTTAGACCGAAATACCGCATTCGTTCTGTGTATTCATACTATTGTGTTCGAGGTCCTTATCCGAAGACTGACGGAAAGGGCCGAGTAGTTGCGATTGCGGCTTTTCCTGTTGTATTTGTTGAACCTAAACAAAGTACTACGTATAAGGTCTTAAATGAGCATTGTATATAACTTTTTATAAAACGGGTCAAGGAAAGAAATGTTATGAAGACGTCCTGTTTTGAAATATATAACATTTCATGGATTAGTTTAAATTTTAGAATGAGAAATGATATATAAATTTATTACATGCTTTTCGATGGATTATAGAAATATATCAGTGATTTATAAACTGGTAATTTCACTGTTTGAAACAGTGAAATTATCAATTTGACAATTTCACTGTTTTGAATTTAAGCCCGTTACGTTGTCTCAGAGAAATACCAGCGTGCACAGTATTGGAAACCAGCTTAATGACGTGACGTCGTAAATGACGTCACTTTGTATTAGAATGTGGCGCGCTTTTCATTTAGTACTAGGATAAATTGTCTTTTTAAACGTTTCTTAGCATGTAATAAAAAGAAAATTTGTTTAGTTTAGTGTAAGATCGAAATATATTTCACCTCGTGAACACCAAAAGTTCATATTTCACTCGTGGCTGCGCCACTCGTGAAATATACCTTTTGGTGCTCACTCGGTGAAATATGTTCCGATCTTACACTGAACTTAACAAATATCCTCTATCTAATTAGTGTATAAAGTATTAATCAAGAAAACGTTTAAAACAGGCAAGTCATTTAGGGGCGCGCCATTTTTAAAAAAAAATGCGCCATACATGAATATACTTTAGGTTGGTGATGACATGGCAATACGTTCATTATTGAAATAATTATGTGCATGCTATATTACACTAAAAAGAACTGATGTCATCTTATAAAAAAGTATTATTTACAAATACCTCTTGGTCAGTCAATGATATATTGGTGAAAACAATCCGTATGTATTCCTCTTCATTAAACTCAACTACCCATTTATAATTTTCACCAAAACCATATTCAAATGGATAACCAATGCTGGTCAGAATACTTTGATTTCTTACGAATGACATATAAGAAACGACTGTCCCAGTTTTATCTCTTGAATGGCTGTACATTGCGAAAGGACTTGATATGTAATCTGTAAAGAAAACAAACAGGAAACAAGCAGGAGCGACAGATGAATGAATGAAGCGCTATATACGAGTAAATATCGAGTTCGATAATTAGTCAGATAAAAATGTTATATAGAACAACAAATCATGTCGGTGAACAATGTCTTTTGAGGGGTGTTTTTGTGTGTTTTTAATGAAGGTTGTTTTGTTGTTTTGTTGTTGTTTTTAGACATAATCTGCTTACGATGGCTAAGCAACCACAGAAAGACACATTGTTTTCTTAATATGAGGCGACTTATTGAGTATGTCTTTTACAATAATACTATACTTGAAGGGAAAATAAAAGTCTGCAAGTCTAGTCTGTATCTGATTTCAAAACTTCAACTCAATCATAAAACTAAATATTATTGACTTCCGACCACTTGTCTGTTACTGCTTTAGTTTCAAATCCTATCAGGGACTTTGGATTCTAAGATACCCACATTTTACGTTTTAGGGACATTTTACGTGTACATTTTACGTTTTATGGACATTTTACGTTTTAGGGACATTTTACGTTTTCCTCCATTAGTAAAGCTGAAAAGTCACATGACATTTAAAACGTGTCTTAAGAGTTGGTCCAAATCTACGTTTATTATGTTTTTCTCTGTGCAATAATCACTCCAAATAAAATAGATCTAATTTCTATCAAAAGAAAAAAAATGAAATGAATTTGAAGATGTCTATGGGTAAAAT